CAAAGATGGGCTCTTGGCCCTCCCGCCCCAGGTGCAGACAGCACCACCTCTCTGACTACGCCACGCTCTGAAAAAGGTCAGCAAGCACCACTTGCAGGACAGCACCTGGTAATTATCTCCCATACCGCAGTGCACCCCACCCGACAGCCCAATGGCACGAGTGCCAGCCGAGCCTGTGTGTGAGGTGACACATCCCCATGCACCCTTGTCTGCTGGGTGAGCACTGTCTGTCTAATGACTAACAGCCCATTGGGAAGATGTGAGTACCCGTAGGCCTTCTTCTGGTTGCTTCCTGAAGCTCCGGGCCATACATTCCAACAGTTTCTGAAATACTTTCTGGACCGTATCAAACAGCGTTGCAACTTCTTCGTCTGAGTCTGGTTTCTGCATCAAGGAACTGCCAGTTACCTCTTTCAGAATGCCCAGAAGTAATGACACATAAAAGAAGCCCTTCACTAGAAAGAATATTAGAAAAATCAGTTATCTAACCACAAAATTTAGCTGAAATTATTACATTTTTCACACATGTATATTATGGTAACTGGAAAGAAATCGTTACCGGCAAGCCAATACCAGGTTGATCAGATTAATCTAAATTTTAACATACAGGGGCGCCTGGGTGGCTCAGTCAGTTAAATGTCTGCCTTCGGCTCAGGTCATGATCCCAGGGTCCTGGGATTGAGCCCCGTATAGGGCTCCCTGCTCAGTGGGGAGTCTGCTTCTCCCTCTCCCTCCCCCCGCTTGTGCTCTCTCTCTCTCTCACTCACTCTCTGTCTCAAATAAATAAAATCTTTTTAAAAATAAATTTTAACACACATAAATTTTATTTAATTTTTTTTAAAGATTTTATTCATTTATCTGACAGAGAGAGACACAGCGAGAGGGAACACAAGCAGGGGGAGTGGGAGAGGGAGAAGCAGGCTTCCCGCTGAGCAGAGAGCCTGATGTGGGACTTGAACCCAGGACCCTGGGATCACGACCTAAGCCAAAAGCAGACGCTTAACGACTGAGCTACCCAGGCACCCCAACACAGATTTTAAAATAAATAAAATTTAATAACCTGCTCCTTTTAAATATAACACCAATACCTGCAACAACAACAGTGTATTTAACTTCATCACTAAGAACTGGGCTCACTACACATGTGGACAGTGTGGCCCCTCGAACACATGGATTAGAGAACATGTCTCCTTTTCTCTCGTAATGGCAACATTAACACCAGCTCTACTGTCACAAGTCTGAGAAGGATGGCCCAAGAGCTTTCAAAATGTGATTTATAAATGTCATAGGCCAACTCTGCTAAACTTCTAACATTCTGTGGTTTATCTTGTCTTTCTCTTCCGAATCACTTCCTTTACTGTGTTGCATTAATTTGGTAAAGTGTTGGGGCGCCTGGGTGGCTTGGATGGTTAAGTGTCTGCCTTCGGCTCAGGTCATGATCTCAGCGTCCTGAGATCAAGCCCCACGTCAGGCTCCCTGCTGGGGGTGTGGAGCCTGCTTGGGATTCACTCTCTGTGCTCCCTCCCCTCTCCCACCCCTGCTCACACCACCTCTCCCTCAAATAAATAAATCTTTAAACAAAACAAAAACTAAAAAAAACCCAGAGCTGGGGTCTCACCCTCCAGAAGCTTCTTAAGCATCATCACTGTTTCTTACTTCTCTCTGGACCCTCAAGCTGCCTGACACTGACTGACCTTTTTGAGGTGTGTGTGCATGACTGCCTCCCCATTTCGACAGCATGCTCTCCCTGGGCAGGAGCAATGCTGCATGATTCTTTCGTGTATACATTTAAAAATATATACTACATAAACATACGAACTATATACCACATATATAAACACATATATAAATTATATAAAATGTGTATCTATGTTTTTAAAACTTGTCATATGGGAAAGCACAGAAATAATGTTCCTCATTAACAGACTATTATCTAGGTGACAAAGAGGTATGACCTCTTTGACCTTATACGGGTATCATATGACCTTACACAGGAAATGGACCATGCAAACAACCTCAGTTCATAAAACAAATTAGTAAGATACAGTAAGCTCTGCTTGAGACATAGTTAAGAAACTAACCCCAAACCCAAATTTACCTGCTCAAGTAAGTAAAATAACTGGTCATGTTCCAGTCAAGTTTACCCCTCAAAAGGTCTATGGAACTACCACAGTCAACAGTTTCTAAAATCACTGCAAACATAACAGAAACTTTCAACAAATGAATCTCTTTTATTTAAAAGGCAGAGGGACACACACTCTCCACACATGCAAGTCACTTCAATGGAATGGGCAGTAAAGAACGCCAGGCTCTGAAATCAAAGTACGGACAGCTCACAGGAGGCCGATGTGCTGAAGATGAAAGGCCCAGCAAACAAGAGTGCTGCCCTTGTCCAACCACCCTCAAGGTCACAGGGAACCACACACTTAACTGGTATAACTACTGACAAAAATAAGAAAAGCTAAAAACTTTAATTCAAAGCTACTGCATTATATTCAAGCAGTATGTTCCTTATAACCAAATATACATAGACGGTGGTTAAGTAAAATACAACACATTACTAAAGATAAGTCAGAATTCACAGCTACACAGAACAGATGACCCTGACTTTGGAAGTTCTTGCTTCTCCAGAGGGAAGTGGTCCAAAGCAATTGCGGGGAGTGACGTCAGCCTGCCACTGACAGCATCTGCAAACAAGCAGAAGCTCACTCACTACCCCAGCCCACGCAGCAGCCGCAGGGAGCAGTGCAGCTTATGGCGGTCCGTGGACCCCGTCCTCCTCTGGCTCTGCACCTCAGCCTGTCGTATGTTCCTCCCTGCAAGTCCCTCTGGCCCAGCCCCCCCAGGCTCTATGCCAGTGGCCCTTCCACCTTTCAGTTAAGACAAACCCCTAGGTTTACTGTACTTACTCTTTGTTTACTAGAAATGTAACCTCCCTTTTTAAACGGGCTGATTACTTTCTGGAGGATTACCATCTCCTAGTGCTCCGGGCACACAGCACTATCTTAACCACCTGCCCCAGACTGTCTTTTCCCACAGGCCCTGTTACTTTTTAGTCCCTGATTTTGCAGAGCACATGGTGTTTTTTCAAAACGTACACCCTGCATTACAGCTGAAACACCTGCACTTGTGTGAGCTTAGATTTTTTACATTTGGGTTATGTATGGGGACTCAGCTCTACTCAAGGACACCTCCTCTAGAATATGCACTTCAGCATGGAGAATGCCATATTATAATATTAGTAATATAAATGTGGTTTTATAATTAGGAAGTTTTATTAGAACTCTTTCAAGTAGAGCAAAAAGCCCCATAACAACAGACTCTGGGTATGCCTCACTAAGCTGCTAAGTATAATCCTGTTTGCGACAGGGCTACAAAGGATGGCCACAGTTGATTCTCCCCTGGGAGCCTCTAATTGTTGGAATGTATAGATGTAAAGATCATTTCAGTTTGGTTCAGGTAAAGTCAGCAGCTTCAGGCCTTATTTTTGGGAAACAGATACCTCTATGTAATGAAACTAGCAACATCAGAGATCTAAAATTCAAGTTACCTCCTTGGAAATGGAAATTTTATAAATACTAAAAGTACAGTCAGTCCTTAGGAGAAAAAATTCCTAAATGCTAAATGAAGTTTTAAAAAATACAAATCATTTTTCATTGTTTCAATCATTAAACTTAAGTTAAAAATGTTTTCACAACAGAAAAGAAAAATGATAAAAGATTTATCGAAGAAAAGCCAGATTCTGAAACAAACAGTATTTGTTCTGGTTAACGCTCAGTCTTTACCTGTGGGTATTTAAAACAACTCATACACAACCTTGCATATAGTACAGGTTAATTTCAAGAAAACACATACTTGAAACGGCAGAGCAGAGCGGCTGACACCCAAGCACCGACCCCAAAGCACCGACCCCATCGGCCGACCCCGGAGTCTGCCTGCATGACAACATTCAGTACCACCAGGGACTAACTGCAAACTTAACTAGGGATTCACGGACTCTATGTCCAAATCTTAACATTGAATCTAAAAATGATAAAGTCATTTTCAATGTCTTCTGGCAGATATATGTTTAAAGAAATTTAAATATTGCATTTTCAAGTTTCTAATATAGATAGCAGAAACAACCAGATGTGGTGTCAGATTACAGAGTGAGAGCAATTCAGAAACAGTTTTACACCCAGTGGGTGGTGCGTGAGGAGGGGTGGGGTGTTACAGGCCAGCAGTACTCTCCTCAGCCACACTATGAGAGGCAGGGGAGAAAGCCTGGATCACTCCCCGACTCCTCACGCCATCACGAGATGGGGCTGTGAGAATCTGGCCCTGGGGCCCCTGGTCAGGCCACTCCAGGTAATCACACAGCCCACCTCTGTACCCAGACCACCTGGAAGGAGGCTGATCTCTCACTCACTCACTCAACACATTTAACACAGTACCAACTATGCAGCAAGCACAGACTCCATGGTATTAGTTACTGCAGGTTCCACTGTCACCCTGTCCTCGGGGTAACAGCAACTTCCCACTGGTCCTAAGGGGGGCATTAAACAACCCAACTTACACTCCCCATGTGGTGAGTAGACAGGTTCGGGGCAGCCACTGCACTAACCCACCACATGGCAAAGTCACCTGACAACCAGGCAAACCACTAGGAGAAGAATCCATGAGAGAAACTCTGGACTCAGGCACGTCTGACACCAGAAACACCTTTGAACTTCCCAGTTGCCTCAGCCTATGAATTCCTTTTTGGTATGAGCTAGTTTGTGTTACGTATCTGTCACCTGAAAGCAAGAGTCCCAATAAGCAAAGTGAGGGAAGGTGAGAGGGACTGGTTTGATTATTAATTGCTCTAAACGAGTCCTTTAATGAATGAAGTGTACCTGTTTGCATGATTTGGAGACTCCATTGTAAAAGCTGTATCTGAAACTTGTAATCGCCAAGGCCAACCATCACAACATCCTTACCTACTGTCAGGTAGGTCTGTAAGAGACACAGATGTGCGGTGTGATTTACAAGAAACTGAGAGCCAGAAAAGGAAAATAAATCCAGCCTGGTAAAGCTTCTAATATCTGATTGTACTACTAATTATCTCCTAAAGCAAGTGTTTTATAAAGATGTTTTACAAAGGAATTTTCATAAACATACATTAGTTCTCATTTTTATTTCCATAAGAAATCTGGAAACCCATTTTACATCATTCCACAAACATTAATGAAAACCTATTACATGCAAGGTGTAAAACTCCATAAATATTATGCGGTTTATGTCTTGGGAAAAGACAAACTCTGGGTGTTGAAATGACGCTATACTGAAGAAGAGCAACACTACTGTCCAAAGTTACAACTTTAAAATAGAAAATAAAATCTGGAAGCACATCACAAACTTGGTGAAGAGAAAGTTTCCATGTTGTAAGACTTCTAACCTGGATGATTTGCTGATAAACAACCCTATGAAGCTTGAGATATTCTTCTTCTTGATCTTGAATAAAAGACAGAACTTTGTTTTCTAGCCAAAACCCAGTGTCTTCCAAAATGGACAGGTAAACTTTCCCTTCTGAGCAGAACTGTCCAACAACAGAAAGACAAATCAGTAATGGAACCAGCTTTGCCAAAAGGCTTTGTATTCGGTCACACAGCCAGGGACAGACTCACCTGGTGCTGAAGATGAATACTCAGCCGGCAGTGGAGGCTGAAGGCTCGCAGAGCCATTGCTTCATTAAAGTTATGAGGTTTCCCACCTGGCAACTGCAAAATTGATTCCAGATCGGCCTGCAAAATAAAAAAACCTGTGGCCATGTTCTGACTACTAAGTCACTACCACACCATATACAGTGAGGACAATCTGAAGAACCTGACACATAGCTACAGTTGGAGGTGATCTCAACACAACTAAGGAGAAGAATCCATGAGAGAAACTCTGGACTCAGGCACGTCTGACACCAGAAACACCTTTGAACTTCCCAGTTGCCTGGGAACAAAACTAAGAAATGTACAGTTTTCCCTTCCTCTCCCCGCAAAAGATCCTCCCTATGTTATTCATTTATTTAATTTATATTTTTTTATTTCAAATTTTTATTTAAATTCTAGTTAGTTAACGTATAGCATAATATTGGTTTCATGAGCAGATCCTCCCTTCTAAAGGACAAGATAAAAACTCTTAACAGTTATTGCTCAAGAAACTGTCAGGATCAAGCACACAAAGCATCTGCCCCTGGGGCAAGCTGTGACCTGCTCCCAGCCAGGGGGCTATGAGCACAGACCATCAAAGGAAAGAGAAAGAAAGGCAGCTCCTCGGGAGAACAATGTTCTCGCCACCCAGGGAGGGCCAGAGCCTCAGCTTACCCACAGCTCCCTAACCCTGTACCTTAAAAGGAGGAGTGCCTTAGAGTTGGGAAATGTCGAGGAGCCTGTGTCTGGTTGTCACATGGAGAGGCAGTCGGGACATCATCTGTGCCCCTACTAGCAAAGCCTGAAGGGGAATGCACCCAGCCACCTTTCCCAGAACCCACAGGCAGCCCTACTTTGGACAGCAGCACAGCCAGTGCCCAGCTTAGTCCAAGGGCAAAATCCCAGCACTTCCAATGCGTGCCTGGCTGCCAGCCCTGGCCCACGTCCTCCCCTAGACAGCTGTGCACCTCCTTCTCCTCCTTCAGACTCTGCCTCCTCTTCCCCAGCTAATGCTGGTGCTAAGCACTGGAGGGTCGGCCTCTGGCTGACCAAACCAGCAGCAGTCACAGGGGTGGTCTCTGACAGCTGGCCCTGGAGATGGCCAGAGAGCCAGTAAGAAGAAGGAAATCCTGAGGTCACAGGAAACACCCTCCAAAGATTCCTAGAAAAGCTGCCAAGGACTGTGAGCGGAAGCTAGTATTCCCACCTCAGTGCGTGAGGAGTACAGCAAAAGAACTACAGGAAGAAGTCTTCCTACAGACTGGTGTGTTCTAGAGAGAGGGCCATCCACGGGCCTGGAAACTGTAAGCCAGCTCCCCTCTTGCCCCGCCAGTTAGTCACCTGAGTGTCCTGTCCTTGTCTGCAAACTGAAGGAGTGGGTTAGATAACTCTCAACTCCTTTCCAGCCGGAAAAATTCTGTACTCTAAGTATGAAAAATTTAGATCTTATTTTGTCACGCATACTAATTACATGGACTCACTCAACTCTCGTGGTGTCCATGTCTGTTCTGTAAAGTTACCTTCGACATTTCAAGTGCTTTCAAAAGGTGGTTAAGTTTCTTCTGGGGAGCAGAGAGCAGGCACTGTCGATTCTTTGGATGCGTCAGCAAATACTCTATGTAAACCAGGGCCAATTCAGGTTTTACTGGGCGTGTGTCATGGATTTGCACTTTCCGTTTAGATGCTGAGTTACTCTGAAAGAACAGAGCGAAAAACTGACAATTAAAACACACATTCTTGGGTGCCTGGGTGGCTCAGACAGTTGAGCGTCTGCCTTCGGCTCAGGTCATGATCTCAGAGTCCTGGGATCGAGTCCCGCACTGGGCTCCCTGCTCTGTGGGGGGTCTGCTTCTCCCTCTGCCTCTCTCCCTGCTCATGCTCTATCTCTGTGTCTCAAATGAATAAATAAAATCTTAAAAAAAAAATAAAACACGGGGCGCCTGGGTGGCTCAGTCGGTTAAGCGTCTGCCTTCGGCTCAGGTCATGATCCCAGGGTCCTGGGATCGAGCCCCGCATCAGGCTCTCTGCTCAGCAGGGAGCCTGCTTCTCCCTCTCTCTCTGCCTGCCGCTCTGCCTACTTGTGCTCGCTCTCTATCTCTCTGTCAAATAAATAAAATCTTAAAAAAAAAATAAAATAAAATAAAACACATGTTCTCAGGAAAACGTATGATTTCTAATACACACACATCCTCATTCAGCAATTTTAAAGAAACATGACAGAAATACACCTTGCTCTGGGGCTGTTCTTCTGGCAGCCAGTCGCAGATGAGTTCCAGAATGTGTCCCACTTGTCCCCAGGAGCAGAGACAGTCCAACAAAGTACAATAGCGCTTGTCTGCTGCTCCTTCCTCCTGGTTTCTTAATGTGGAAATCACACCACAGCTGAAAATGTCGAAGATATAAAATCAGATCTAACATTTCAGTAAGTTTCCCACTCCTCAAAAAGGTGGAAAAAAACGAGGAAGCTAAAAACTGAAGGTACATAAGGCCCTCTTATCGTAGGAACTCTTGGACATTCTCAACTATAGGAATAAATATAGTTTCCCACAATTACTATACAGGATAAGTTCCAACACAAAACATGGAATCTGAACACAGCTTGAGGAACACTGAAGTCAAGGCAGTCCCATACGAGTATTAAGTTACCAAGGACATGCCAGTTCCATAAAACCCCCCACTTTTCTTTTCTCTGCCATCTCCATCAGACTCTAGAGCAAAGACTCCCAGTTTTTTGGGAATAATTTTTGCTTAGCATCAAAACATTAATTTTTTTCATAAATATGGATAAAAATGAGTCATTTTTACTGAGTTAATAACCAACACTCTAGAACGCCACCATCCAGGAAAAAATAACAACATGAGCTACAAAAGCAAGCTACTTTAGGTCATTTTAAATTTTCTAGTAGCTACCTTAAAAAAGTAAAGAAAAACAGGTACAATTAATTTCAGTAATATATCTTATCTAAGCCACTGTCTCCACAATGTTGTCTTCAGGTGTAACTGACAGAAAACCACTAGCTCTTCACGCTCCTCCTTCCACACCAGGCTCTGAGCCCACGTGCACTCTGCACCCTCAGCACATCTCAACCCAGGTGGCCACATGCCAGATGCACACAGGCAGCATGACTCTGAAGTCCCTTCATGCTGGGCTTGAAAAACACCCCCCGACTTTAAAGTGGACAGCTTCAGTTCCACATAGGCTCTTCCTATATCCCTTAGCAACTCCAGAGCCCACTGGAAACTGCATCCTGCTGCTTTCCCGCCACCACTGTGAACTTAAAGCTGAAGCATGACCCACACATTCTGCTGAATGTCACACTAGTAACTAAGCACAACGAAGGCAGGGTTCCCACTCATGACCGAGGGAGAGAGAGAGGGAGAGAGGGAGGGAGGGAGAGAGAGAGGGGGAGAGGGGGAGGGAGAGAGAGAGAGGGAGGATACCTGGCAGGGTTCCCACTCATGACCGAGAGAGAGAGGGGGCGGGGGGAGGGAGGGAGGGAGGGAGGGGTTACCTGAATGCAGGCACAGCAGAGGCCGGCATAAAGGACATGAGCATAAATAAAGGGATCTTGCAGCGATCATCCTAAAAGCATAAAAAGGGGGGGAAAGGGTATTTAAACGCAATGACATTTTGAAAGGCTGTCCACATAACTTCCTAATGACCTATCTTCAGAGCTGCTCGGTAGGAATTAGAGCGCTCCTTTCAGTGTTCAATGGGAAACTTATATTGGAGAAGCAGTTTCAAAGTTTTAAGTGACATTTTACCACCCGTGTGATGTATTAATTTGTGCAAATATTTATTAGGCACCTACTGTGTACGAACTGCCAACCTAGATCCCGGGAGATATATCAATAAGCAGAATAGACAAAGTCCTTGCTTTTGAGGCACTGACTTCTATTTTAAAAACAATACTGATTAAAGGGGAAAAAAAATTAACTCTGTACACTTGGTATCCTGAATATAAATGTCAAGAGAATGAACTAGTCAGAAAAAAACTTTTCCATAAAATAATCAGAAAATCTTTGGGAAGACAATATAGTTTAATGGAAAATGTATTAGGCTTATTAGCAGCTACCAAGCCAAATCTAGGTCCAACCAGACTCCACGGTTTTACCAGCTGGATCAGCACAGAGCAAAGAGTCAGTGCCAAGGTCTGTTTCCTCCTCTGCGAAAAGGGCGGGCACTGTTGGGAGGACCGAGACAGGCACACCACAGCACCCCATCCGTGGTGGCACTTAATAAGCCATAGCCATACCAGTGTTATTGTGATTACACCATTAAAACAAAGAGTAGACCAGGCTCAATCAAAAACACTTAATAGAAAATATCCTTGGTTGATTGGGAGAATAAGAGATGGTGGACCCTAACAGAAAAAAATATAACAATATCCCCCAAAATACACTTGAAACAGAACCAGGGACAACATCGAAATTTGATCTGCACTTACTCTGCATTCAGTTGGAGTGGACCCACCCCTCCCCCCAACTCCCAATACAAAAAATGTTTTCTTAATGTTACAAAAGTAGACCGCTAATTACCACTAATTCCACTCTGTCTGGATTGTTGACTGTTCATTCATTTATAAAGAAGACCACAATGTTCTCGGAGCAACCGAGTACAGAGAAGTTCTCTTGCCAGAATCATTTGAAATTAACTGAATTAATTAACTGCCCTCCTTGGGTCCCTAGATACCTGCAGGCCACACTGCTCATCTATCATCTCATCTAGTATTCTATGGGCTTCTCTGTTATCATCTGAGAATTTTGAGATAATGCTGGTTTCCCAGCCCAGTGTAATTATTTGAGCTTTTAAATGTACTAATAACTTTAGCAATTTAGATTATTTACCTTCCTGAACAGGTCAGTTGCATTTCAGGGACACAATGAAGCTCAGAGACTTGACAGTCACAGAAATGTGGCTCAGAACAGCTAAGGGGTCAAGGTCACATAAGCAGTTTTGGAAGAGCCCAAAAGTAACATTCATCAAGAGAAGGATGGTTCATAAAACCTATGATCATTCTATATTTAAACCATGCTTTCTTTATAATCGGGAGTACATTTTCATCTCTAGCTCAGTCTTCTATTTGTTTTGGAAATATGAACTTCCCTCAGAAGTAAAAAGTCAAGAAACAGGTTTCCTTCATCCAGAGAGAAGTTACATGCATGGTTCTATTTGCAGACACAACTCAAACACTTCAGAAACCCACTTGCTTACAGTATGCCATCAAATGCCTAAAAGTGCCCATGAAACTTAGCCGCTATGGCATCATGTTTGCCAACTCTTCCTTCTCAATTCCCAGCTAATCAAACTAAATTCTCAAATGGTGTCACAGACCATTGAAGACAGAAAAACTGAGCACTTACCCCCAAATTTCCCTGAGTCCTGGGGATATGAAGTGGGAAGATATATGGCCTCCACCCTTGAGAAAGGCAAGAGGCCACTTCCCCTGCCAGGTGAGCACTGGCTCAGCATCCCCCCTAACACATGACCAACCAGGTCCTGCCAGTAAGCGTGTTGGGCATTTCAGCTAATTCTGCACAAATGCGATCTTAATACACTCACCCACAGTGTGAACAGTCTTACCTTGAAGACTTTCAGGTACTCAGGGAGCACAGAGGCAAACTTGTTAATGGTGTAAACTCTGGCTTCCTTATTATTTTCCATACTTCTGTGAATACTTTTCCAGAGAATCACAACGATTTCTAACAAACCGGCCATGGATGCAACATCGCTTACAGACAATGTTTTGTCCAGAACCTAAGATACAAATAATTTGATTGTGAAAGAATCAAATCATAACAACTATTATGACAACAACTCTTTAAAAGTACATTCCAGGGACGCCTGGGTGGCTCAGTCACTTAAGCGTCTGCTTTCAGCTCAGGTCATGATCCCATGGTCTCGGGATCAAGTCCCGCATCGGGCTCCCTGCTCGGCCGAGAGCCTGCTTCTCCCTCTCCCTCTGCTGCTCCCCCCGATTGTGCGCTCTCTCTCTCTCTGGTAAATAAATAAATATTAAAAAAAAAAAAAGTGCATTCCAGACCTGAAGAAGAAACATAAAGGGTATCAAGTCTATTTTCATTTCATGAAAATGATTTTATCTTCTATTTGAAAATCTCTAGTAGAGGGACGCCTGGGTGGCTCAGTCGGTTAGGCAGCTGCCTTTGGCCCGGGTCATGAGCCCAGGGTCCTGGGATCAAGTCCCACATTGGGCTCCTTGCTCAGCCGGGAGCCTGCTTCTCCCTCTCTCTCCCTTTGCTTGTGCTCTCTCTGTCAAATAAAATCTTAAAAAAAAAAAAGAAAAAATCTCTAGTAGAGGTAAATGCCTTTAAAAGCCCACTCAAGAAATAAATGCTAAATGAACCCTGTATCCTTTCAATCAATACTTCATATGAATTAAAAATCCTCTAAAAATCAAAATGTATAAACTACTGTCTTTAGGGACATAATAAGCAAGTAAAGAGCATACTTCTACTGTATCTTCTGAATTACCAAGATGTCACTTCTTGCCATACACTTTGATGTGAACAGACTGGGGGAGGAAGGAAGGATTTACCTAATGTGATTGCTACTGAGACTCAGCTACAAACTCGGCCCATCAGATCACCCCAGGCTCTCCACTATACAGGCCTGGTGAGGGCTGATGATGACCAACTCCCACTCAATTACTGGCTTCCTCAGTTTGTTCTAAAATAACACACCGTTCACACCTTCTGAGCTTACACTGGCCGTGAGCAATAATCACTCCTATGTTTTTCTGCGTGCTCCATTTAAGCCACAGATGCACCCTGGCAAGTCTTCTTCTGCACAGAACACAGGCCCCAGAACACAACCAGCTCACACACACACTGATGGGGTCTGCTAGCCAGCCCTACAATGGGACTGTACCAAAGACATCTGATAACCTGCGAACAACCACTACAGACAATTTCCTGAAAAGGGACTACCTTGGGATGCAAAAGAAGATTCATTTCAGGACTTGGTACTGTTATGCTATCTACTCAAACGCAATGGAAAAAGTTTAAAAGAAAACAAACTTGGGGCACCTGGCTGGCTCAGTCAGTAGAGCATGTGACTCTTGATCTCTGGGTCGTGAGTCCAAACCCCACGTCAGGTGCAGAGTTTACTTAAATAGAATGAGAATAGCCACATGACAAAGTGTATTTCTTGTTAAGCATAAACTATAATCGACCTACGCACTTCTAAAAGCTTGTGTTTTCTAATGGTATAGCAACTGACCCAAAGTGTTATAAAAATACCTAGGTTTTTAATAATAGGGGTGGAGGGTTTCTTCAAATTTTACAAAATGTAATAGTCTCTCAACTACTGTATCACAAACTATGCCTCTGCTCTTCTGCAAACCATTTCCACCACCAGTCTGAGTTTGCAGTGGTGGCCCAGGGAGATGCTGTGCTCTCTCCCTGGGCACCACTGCCTCCATCTTCCACACTGTGACCCCATGCGCCAGAACCGTGAACTGAGACTGTCATGCCACCTGAGGTTTCTGAAGATGTAGGGCAATGCAGTCAGCTTCCTGAAAAATTCTGCCCATACAATCTGTATACTGAGGGAAAAACCCTGGAGAGAGGAACTTAAATTCCACCAAAATAAAAGCAGAACCAACTCCAAATGCCCTGGGCCGAAGGCTTTCCAAATTGAGGCCGAGGAGGTCTGTGAGTGGCTAGAACTACTAGTCAGGGTCCACTGTCAGGATAAAACCCAGTCCCACTCTTTCTGTGCATTTTCCTCCTTGATTCCACACCTGCCTCCCTGACTGGGATAGAGACGAGGACTTGTTTAAACAGAGTCTAGGCTGATGGAGTGGTGGCCCTCCAGCTGCAAGCCCATGGGCACAGGTGTCCCTGGGGTGCGTGCAGAAGTCGTCAGGCCAGCGTGAGACCCGTGAGCAAACCTGGCACCCTCTCCTACAAAAAGGCCTGTGTCAGAGGTGGTGGGACGCAGGTGGGGACTGAGGCAGGGTCAGACTGTATGCAAGGACCTCGCCCTGGGGCCTCGATGCAGGACCAGGTCTCAGCAAAAGGACAGACTGTCTCTTGCGACTTCTTTTAAAGGCCACTTTCCTAATCTATTTGGGTACTACAAAACTACTCCCAAATTTTACTTTAGATGTACATAAGCATGAAAGTTTGTTTATAAGCTTAGGATACTGCTTGTAAGTAATGTGTCTATCTTAAATTTCTTTTAAGTGGTACTCTGGATTCTGAAGAAATAGCAGCTAACCAGTCCCTTTAACTACTTTTTATTTTTTTAATTTTTATTAGTTTTGAAGATTTATCTATTTGAGAGAGAGTGTGTGTGCGCACACACGTGCAGGCAGGGGAAGGGACAAGTGGGAGAGGGAGAGAGAATCTCAAACAGACCTCCCAGCTGAGAGCAGAGCCGGACTCGAGCTCGATCCCACGACCCTGAGGTCATGACCTGAGCTAAAATCATGAGTCGGATGCTCAACCAACTGAGCTACCCAGGCACCCCAATTAATTACTTTTTAAAAGATAATTCTAGGGGCACCTAGGTGACTCAGTTGGTTAAGTGTCTGCCTTCAGCTCAGGTCATGATCCTGAGGTCCTGGGATTGAGCCCCACATCGGGCTCCCTGCTCAGCAGGGAGTCTGCTTCTCCCTCTGCTGCTCCCCCTGCTTGTGCTCTCTCTCTCTCAAATCAATCAATCAATCTAAATAAAGCTCATTCCTAGAAATTCAACCCCCAGATGTTTCTAGTAGAATCTCACAGCAGTGGCTATGAGTAAATCCTTAAGAACATTAACACCCATTAATTATAAAATATGGTAACATCCAGAATCCAATCCAGGTGTATGCTATACCCAGGTCGAATTAAAATATACAGAGAAGCTTAAGGCCAAGAAAATTTGGGACAGGTGTTACCAGTAATAAATTTTCCTCTGTATTAAATCCTACCCAAACTCCACAATGAACTACAAAGGATATAGAGCAATTCTTTCAAAAACATTACTTATGATCCTCTACAATAATTTGCTGAATTATCAATACTGAAGGAATAATGGGAAATCAAAATATTGCTAACAGTCCATGGAAATGCCAGTGTTCTGCCTTTCTCCAAGCAAAGGGCACAGGGTCCTTGTCTTCCTTGAGGTAACATGGCCACAGGTGCAGCTGGGCCAGGGCAAGCCCGACCATACTCACGTTCTCCTTCTCCCTTTCCTCGTGGCTCTCGTGGCACTCGCGCACAGCCCTCCGGATGCAGGCATTCAAGCAATGGCGAATCACATGAATCAGCTTTGCTGAAATGTTTAAAATAATCGATAATTAATGTACATGTTTCTTCAACAAAATTATCTTTCTGACAGTAAGATTATAATCCCAAACAATTAAAAATATTATTTTAGAGGAAATCATTAAGAAATGCACTAAAGCGTGAAGTTTACTGAAATGACCAACACTGAGGATACGGGACATTCATTATGCTTTAGCTTTAGGAAGACAACATAACGAGCACGGAGATGTAGGTGTCCCACACCTATATTAGTGCAGGCGGTATGCTCGTGGGCATGCTGATAGAACTTCCTGGCCGCTGCATGGTTCATCTGGACCAGCGTGACACAGCGCTCACACCACACCTCCTCAGGCTGGTTCACGGGCAGGAAAGAGTTGAAGATAAGGTTCACCAGTCGCCGAGCCACAGGCCGGGAATCTGATTCCAGACGAACCAAAATATGCTCCATGGGGCATATTTTCCAAAACTATGTAAAACATACACAGAAGGGAATAGTCAATTGTCCCTGTAATCTTGAAAACACTTCCTAAGCAAAATTTCCTGAGCAAAATCAAAAAGGAACTAATCTTTATATTCAAGAAAATTCATTTCAAATGACTATACCAGAAACTGTGACTCTTCTATAGAGAAATTAGAAAATAAATCCATATTTTAAAAAGCACTGACATTACAAGGTACCGAAGTATAACACTGTTGGGAGGGTTAATTACAACTAATTAGTATCATGCTTGGTGTAAACTCTCAAATGATAACTATGATTATGAGTCTCATAATTTAAAAATTTCCTAAAACAACTTCAGCCCATTAATGTGAAAAGTGAATAGAAAAATTTACAACACTTTGACACAGAGATCTAAAGTGGACACCCCATTCCCTACGTCGGAGACATCACTTCTGAACCCCAGAGATACCTGGCCCACCACCCACGGTAGGCAGCACCCTCTGGCCCATCGCTGCCTCCCCTCTCCAGGGCCAGCTTGCCTAGATGACCACACCGGCCTCCGCCAGCCACCATACAGCTGCTGCACGACCACAAGTGTCCTACAGCCTCTCTGGCTCCAAAGCCTCGAAGTTGTCTACTGCCTACAGAAGACAGACAAACTTCCAAGCAAGACATTCCAGACAAGAGAAAAACAGCAGGAGGAAGAAAATAGATTCTAACGGTGGAGCGTTCAAATCCTGTCCTAGTCACTTCTCGGCTGGCAATCCTGTACAAATACCTACAGCTGGCAGTTTCCTCCTCTGTATAATGGGGATAATACCACCAACATGCATTCTCCTCAAGGACCTAGCTCTAACAATCTGCCCCTTTCCAGTATTTTCAACTGGATCCTTCTCATCAGCATTTAAGTATTTTTAAGTCATTCCACCTCTTAAAACAAAAGCCTCCCACAAAACTCTGCTTGAATTTCCTGTCTCCTTGCAGCTCACCTTCCCTCTGCCCTGGGACCTGCCTCTGCCCACACCTCCTCTTCCTCACCCCACTTACAGCTCAGCCCACAGTAGTGCGGCTTCTACCCTCACTGAAATTGTTCTTGCCAAGGTCATAATGACCTTCTGTTGAAAATCCAGATGAACATATTCACACCTCCCCTTCCAGGAAATCTGATGCTACTGATTACTTCCCCCCAGAAACCTCCTGGGACACTTCCACTTAAGACACCTCTTGGTATTTCTGAAAAAGTTATTAGAGTAAATAAAGACAATAACTAAGCCCAAGTCCCACACCCGACACTGCTATTCACAGTGGTAATGGGGAGGCAACGGCACGAGTGCTGCCAGCAGTAAGTCATGCAGAGAGGATGGTATGGTGGCCCAACTCTCAGCCCTTGCCCCACCAGAGGCAGGTGGCTTCACAGAAGAGAGCCCACTGCCACTAACTAGAAAAATGACTGAGTGAGGCTGGCAATAAGTGACTGGAGACTTACTCAAGGGTGAGAGGCAGTACTTTCAAGGTTCAGGAGAAGGTACTGATGACTCTGAGGATCCAATGGCGGCTATAACCACTTCCCTCTTCCCTCACCTCCCCTGCTCCCTCCCCGCCTGTGTCAGTCCAGATGGGCTACTGGTTGTGAATGTGAGTGTACTGAGGTGTGATCCTGAACAGCAGGTTGTGGCTAACAGCAACACCAGCAAAAAACACTTGCCAAAACACTCAAGCACACCTAGCTACATGGTGCGATTTCACAACCACCACAAAAGCAGATTCAACCCAAGACCAAAATGGCCAATGAGTGGATTCACCATTCACCTGCTCTACTATATGCTGCCTGCAATCTCACAGAAAGGTGGATGACAATGGTGTGCAGGCCATACACTGATGTAGAATGGAAGCAACAGGTCAAGGAACAGAGCTGACAACTCCAGATTGCTGAGTTCCTCTGGGCAACAGGACCCTCAGCAGGAGCATCACACCTCCTCCACATGAGAACTCATGGGTCAGTTCTGCCATTAGTAAATGTCAACCTCAGAACAGCACAGCAACAGAACAATCCCAAGAGGGAAAAATCCAAGAGGAAAGAGAAAGCCCTCCACTTGAGAACTCAGGTAAGCAAGGGTTCTTCAAGACTCGAGACTTCAGAGCTCCAACCTGGCTGCAAGAAATAACCACCAAGGAACATCCCAGATCTCAGCACAACAGCCCAGCCACAGAGCCAGTACCTGAGAAGTTCTCCACGATCTGCCCCCAGTCACACTAAAAAGTTGACTCCTGGGCCTTCATGGAGACTACACCATCTTGAATGGGAACTAGCCATTGGCACTCTTACCAAATGCCAGGTTCCGGGGTGATTCTTACAACTAACACTTCCTGCACGTCTGCCCTTCCAGAAACTCCCCATATGAGCTTGTTTTTCTTTGATTCACTTTTCTCAAATAATGCAGAACAATTCTCATTAGCTCAGGATTCTGATTTGTTTTGTTTCAATTACCTGAAGTTTTATTTTACCCAAACATATCACCAGCAGGTTGGTATCTGCTGCAGACAAGACCACAAGCAAATCGGTAACTGGTCTTTCACTTCAAATGTTCAGTGTGTCCATTACTAACACAAGCATGATCAGGGCCTGACGGCGGAGCAGGAGACCCCCACCATTCTGAATGGTGGACGATCAGCACTCCCACTTCCTGGTAGCTGCCTCTCCATCTTGCCAGAGATCTCACAGCTAAATCACTCTCTGCCTGGCTTTTGAACAGCTAAGATTTAAGATGAAACAAGCACCCTAGTAAAACATTATGCTTTCTTTCTTGCTACTCTCCTAAAATCCAAACTTCCAGGCCAAAGAACTCTTGTCCTCATCTTGCCTGGTCCCCCCCACTCTTCTCTCCGGTCGACTCATTAATAAAGAGGAAACACTGCTCTCTACATTTCCTCACCAGACATCACCGCAATAGTCCTCTGCAAACAAAACACTTCAAACACAACACTAGACCAAAATTTCTGTCTCAGATTCAGAACTACTCAGTTTTATTAAGCTGTTAATAACAAATGGGATAAAAATTGCAGCCAGCTTTTTTGTTAAAATGGACATGCTGATTCTAAAATACATATGGAAATGCAAAAGACCTAAAGCAGCCAAAAAGCTCTGAAAGAAGAACAAAGCTGGAGGATGCACGCTCCAAGACTTCATGGGAACCTGTAGCAGTGCAGGCAACACAGCCCGGGGCCTAAGGACGTGCAAACAGATGAAAGGGCCAGAGCGGAGTCCAGAAAGACCACACTCGGTCCAGTGACTTCCAACAAAACGACCAAGGAAGGGCGCTTGGGTGTGACGTGGGGGAAGTGTGCTATGGAGGTCATGAAAAACAGTCTCTGGTTTTTAGTTTTTAACAACAAAAACTCAGTTCAAAATTCATAAAAACCATAAAACAATATGTATCCTGGCCTCCCCAGTGCCCCATCCCTAGACATCCAATCCCCCTCACCTCAGGCAACTGTTACTAGTTTCTCATTTTCTTCTAGGAATATTTTACACTATTTGAGCAAATACATACATATGTTCCCCATTTTATACAGCTGGCGGCACACTACACACACCTACACCTGCTTTTACTCATATCTCAGTGGGATTTCCACGTGAGCTCATTCCTTTTCACGGCCACACAGCACTCCTTCATTGCATGAACACACCACAGGTCTGCGTGGTTAACCCTAGACTAATGGACATGTCAGGTTGCTCCCAAATTCTGTGCTGGGACAAACGAGCATTTGCAAGTAAATTTCAGAAAAGTATTGCACGGAGGAAGAAAAGACACAGTGTTATCAAATGACGTTAAAAACCTTCTAACTGGGCGCCTGGGTGGCTCAGTTGGTTAAGCGACTGCCTTCGGCTCAGGTCATGATCCTGGAGTCCCGGGATCGAGTCCCGCATCGGGCTCCCTGCTCGGCAGGGAGTCTGCTTCTCCCTCTGACCCTCTTCCCTCTCGTGCTCTCTATCTTGCATTCTCTCTCTCTCAAATAAATAAATAAAATCTTTAAAAAAAAAAAAAAAAAACCTTCTAACTAACATTTTTAGCCAAAAGTGAGCAGGACTCAAGCTAAAGGAGTACACCCTCGTTTCGAAAGTTTACACCAGGTTAAAATGTGCATCATAACACAATTATCTCCTTGCTTCCTTCTGTAAAATGTGAAGGGAGTTCTCCCAGTAATATTTAAGTAGTTACTGAGTGCCAAGTATTATAATATTTGAAAAGCTTTCATGCACATGATATAAATATAGTTTAAGGTGGGGGTTGCTTCCATTAATGTCTTTCACCAGAAAGAAAACACACATTGATGATACTTCTAGAAACTTCAATGAAAATCACAAAACAAATAAAATTTTATGACACAATGAATTGGCAGAATACACCAGACATCGGCTAGTTTAAATGTGATTACTAAAACTCTTGAAATTAAAATTACTCTGTCTTTTTGTTGATGAAAACGAACGTACTTCTTTATTTCACATCTTCAATGATAAAATCCTGCCTGTCCTACCTTAGCAGCCCGCACGGCTTTGACTTTCAGCAGCATATCAACAAAAGCCACTCTCACTTTCTCTGAATTGTCGTGGAGACTGTATTTCAGTGCTGGCAGAAGCTGTTCTAATAATGGGTGGCTTAATTTGTTATCCAAAATTATCGGCAGACACTACCAAAAGGGAGAAATTAAAAACAACTCAAATTTAGAACATAAACAATAAAAACTTCAGTTAAGAAAATATTCAGTTCCATCCTTATTAGTGAACTACTAGTGAAATAAATAAATATATCTACAGAAAATAACACTTTCCTAAAACAGTTTCATATAAAAAGCATACTTTCAGTGAATTTGTATAGTTTCAACACTGATAATCAGTTCATCCATTGTTCTAGCCAAACAAAATTAAAGCAGTTATAAAATAATCCTGCAATGCTTTCTCTTAGCCAAATTTTAAAGGATTTTTAGAGTTGAAAGAAACAGAGAACAACTACTGGTGGAGAGGGCTTCGAAGCCAATTTGTGTCGGATCCAACAATCCTTTCACATTTTTTTAGTAGCCCATGAATTCTATTTCTTGATTCAATCCTGCATGAAAACCAGAGGGCACAGAGCCCCCCTATCGGGGGGACACAGCCACATGCACCTCAGATGGGTGGTAGAGTGACCTGCCCAAGCTCAGACCAGTCACCAATTTGAAGATCTGATACACTCCACTTTGCTTTACAGTTATTAGGAAAAAGGAGTTTTTAAACAGAACTTTTTTATTTGAATTATAGTGAACAATGTTACATTTGTCCAGGTGTACAACATAGTGGTTCGACAATTCTATACATTAAGCTATGTTCATGATGGTAAGTGTAGTTACCATCTGTCACCATACAATATTATTACAATATTACTATTAACTATAACAAGACCTTCTGTTTTAACCATCATACTTAAATATTTACAGATCAGCTGATATAGTGTCCTGGGTTTGTTTCAAAGTAATCAATAGTGGGAGATGATGAATTGGCTAAAGATGAAACAAGACCAGATGTGTTCCTGATTAACTGTTGAAACTGGATGACGGGAGAAAGGATAGTTTTGTAGGTTCTTGTTAAAAGTGCATACAGTATACCAAAAAAGTCCATTTTAATGTATAATTACAAAAAAAATTTAAGTACTACACACAACTCCTATTTTAAAAACACTATGCACCACCCACCCAGGCCATCCACTAAAAACTGGTATTATTTCAAGTAGGCCTTTTTCGTAGAAGACTTTCAATTTGATTTTTAAAAATGTTACTTTCGATGTACAACAAAAATGTCCATACTAGTCTATCCATAGAGTAGAATTACAGGTAATTTAAAAATTGTTCTTTCTGGGCGCCTGGGTGGCTCAGTTGGTTAAGCGACTGCCTTCGGCTCAGGTCATGATCCCAGGGTCCTGGGATCGAGTCCCGCATCGGGCTCCCGGCTCAGCAGGGAGCCTGCTTCTCCCTCTGACCTTCTCCCCTCTCATGCTGTTTCTCTCTTGCTCGCTCTCTAATAAATAAATAAAATCTTTAAAAAAAAATAAATAAATAAATAAAAAAAATAAAAATTGTTCTTTCTCTGTATTTTCTAATTATTCTATGATAAATAAATATTGCTTAAATCCTACCTTAAAGACAGAACAACGCACGTCAGCTGAGCTTGTGTCAAATGCCAGTTCCCCAGTTACTTTCTTGAGGAGATCAATAAGAATGGTTGGAGGCATCATTTCCCAGTATTTGGAAGTTATTTTACAGACACCAAGGATCCCTGTAGAACGGACCATTGGATAAGGATCTTCTAAAAGGCTCTATAAGTTGGAGAGGAAAAAAAAGACTTAAAAATCTTAAATCGGCTCCCTTTTATATCAATATTCGCTTTACACATTAGCACTCTATGCATTCACAATGTAGCAGACATTTCAAGTTACAGAACTACTGGTCCTATACAGACTCACACATCTCTTATTATCATTTCTATAGCTGAGCATTTAAAGAGGACAATCCAGACATGTGGTGCCATATCTGCCAATCCCATCTACAGGACTTTGCTGACAGCAGAGTCTCAAATACCATCCCCACATTCAGTGAGGTATGCAGACTTCAGACGATCCTACAGACACAGCCATGTAAACTACTTTCTTGAATTTCCAAAATGCTGTAATGCACTAAGCCCAGAATAAAGTTATTCTACCTAATGAATTAATCCAAGAAATGGTGATCAGTGGTTGCTAACAATACAAAAAGAGGGGGCACCTGGGTGGCTCAGTCGTTAAGTGTCTGCCTTCGGGTCAGGTCATGATCCCAGGGTCCTGGGATCGAGTCCCGCATTAGGCTCTCTGCTCAGTGGGGAGCCTGCTTCTCCCTCTGCCTCTGCTTCTCTCTCTCTCTCATGAATAAATAAAAAACATTTAAAAAAATTTTAAAAAAAAGTTTAAGTGTTTAAAAAAAAACAACTACCCAATATTTGATAGCATTAAGGAATGAATTTTCATCTTTCTTTAGTTGTAACGATATGATTATGCTTTTAAAAAAAGTCACTATGTTTTAGCAATTCCTACTTAAGTATTTAGAGTTAAAATGAGGATCTGCTTCAAAACAAGGAAAGAAGAAATAGATTAGGCTTGGGTCACTAAATACTGAAACTGCATTATGGGTACATAGAGGTTCATTATACTAGGCTTTCTATTATTATGTACAAATTTTTCTATTATAGAAGTTTAGAAGCACAAATAATTCTTACTCTGTAATTACAGGGGAAAAAAGCCTTCAAGTTAGGATGAATAAGCAACCCCAAATCTGACCAAAATGAGATGGTAGTAGAGATAGCAACGTTGGAAATGAGGGATTTTTTTTTTTAAGATTTTATTTATTTATTTGAGAGAGAGAGAGAGCACAGAGGGAGAGGGAGAAGCAGACTCCCTGCTGAACAGAGAGCCTGACATGGGGCTTGATCCCAGGACCCCGAGATCATGACCTGAGTCGAAGGCAGACACTTAACCAACTGAGCCAGCCAGGTACCCCTAAAATGAGGGATTTTTACAAGGAAAAAACAGATTTCATGAAAAGACGAGCAGAAAAGGTTGTGACCCAGTCATTCCTAGGTCGTTCCAGAGCTCAGACTTGCCCAAACCGGGGATCATGAATACAGATGGTACCAGGGCTACCGATAGCTTCACGCATTTGCTCCCATGGTAAAACACGTGCCAGAGGACAGCTCTCAAAAACGGCCTTAGTCGGGAACAGAGGAGCTTAGAAAAGCCAGCAATAACTCCTACATCTCCACAGAGGGAAAAAGAAAGGAGAGAAAGCCACCAGAAGGGGAGGCCCCTCCCCATCTGGTCACCTTGGGGTCACTGGCCTGCCTGTCCCTCAGCCACAGAACCCAAGGGAAACTCGATCTGCTGACAAGCCCTGTCCACTTGTGCAAAACCACACAACCCACTTACCAGTCCTAATATGGTCTATTCCTTAGAATCTAACAAAGACTTGGCATTTCTTTTAGGTGTCTTCTCTAATAAGAATTTGCCATTCCTACGTGTAATTTATTTTTCACTGTAAAATAATTATTTCATAGGTCCTGCCTCTTAAACTTACTAACATGTACATATTACATATTTGCTAAAATTATATGGAACTTCGTAGCATGGAAACATTTTTATTCATACAATATCTCTACCAACTATGATGTTCTCACAGTAAGATTTCTTCAATTTACAATATAAGGGATTTTCAATGGACTAGAAAGGGATATAGTTACACCATTCATTAGCCAATATTCTAATATCCAAAGTACCAAGCATATGACAGCATCTACATCTGTAAGAGACCAACAGCTCCCTACACACCTTTCATCTAGTAAATTAGAACTAAACTCGCCTCTAGAAATTCATTTCAGTTTCTAGTACAAGAGACAGAGGATTCACCAATATGTTCCTAATATTATATTACATAATCACATCACTTTACATATTTTTGATGTTCCTATGGTCAATAATAACCACTGTCATTTTATTTACATAATATTTTCTAAAATTTTAATTCCAGTGTAGTTAACATAATGTTGTATTTATTTCAGGTGTACAATAGAGTGATTCAACAATTCTACAAATTACTCAGTGCTCATAAAGATAAGTGCACTCTTAATCCCCTTCACCTATAACCACTGTCATCTTAATGCTAGGGATTGAGCGAAATGTTTTATATATAATTTTTCATTGAGACCTTATCACAATCCGATAGGTTTTAAAAAAACAGGACTAAAGAGGTTAAGTAATCTGATCAAGATCAGGCTTATTAAGTGGGAAGTGGGACACAAAACAAAATGTGTGACTCCATGCTCTCAGTCACTATGTGTGCTGCTGCCCAGCACAAGGGCTAAGGAGGTCCCCTGCAGGACTTCCACAGAGGACTGCTCATGTGTCCCACTCAGGAGCAGGAGGGCCGCCATGCACACCCTGTGAGTCTGTGAAATGGCAGGTACAATCTAAGATACATGTGCTGGCTGGACTGGTGGCACACACTCCATCACCATATCCAAGGCAGATGCTTACACATTTAAAAACAACAGTTTCATAGATTTGGACACCTGGGTTAAAAAGAGCAAACGTTGGGGCGCCTGGGTGGCTCAGTCGGTTAAGTGTCTGACTTTGGCTCGGGTCATGATCTCAGAGTCCTGGGATCAAACCCCGAGTCAGGCTCCCTGCCCAGCGGGGAGTCTGCTTCTCCTTCTCCCTCTGCCCCTCCCCCAGATCATGCTCTAAGTAAATAAAATGTTTATTAAAAAAAAAGAGCAAGGGAGGCGCCTGGGTGGCTCAGTCGTTAAGCGTCTGCCTTCAGCTCAGGTCATGATCCCAGGATCCCGGGATCGAGCCCATCGGGCTCCCTGCTCGGCAGGAAGCCTGCTTCTCCCTCTCCCACTCCCCCTGCTTGTGTTCCCTCTCTCACTGTGTCTCTGTCAAATAAATAAATAAAATCTTAAAAAAATAAAATAAATAAAAATAAAAAAAGAGCAAGGGCGCCTGAGTGGCTCAGTCGTTAAGCGTCTGCCTTCGGATCAGGTCATGATCCCAGGGTCCTGGGATTGAGCCCCGCATCGGGCTCCTTGCTCCGCGGGGAGGCTGCTTCTCCCTCTCCCTCTCTCCCTGCTTCTCCCTCTCCCACTCCCCCTGCTTGTGTTCCCTCTCTCGCTGTCTCTCTCTAATAAATAAAATCTTTTAAAAAAAAAAAAAAGAGCAAAAGTTTTTCATAGTTTTTTGGCTAAAAACTACCAAATCTAGTTTTGATTTGCCCACCAACATTAGCCCCACAAAATTAATGATTCTCAAGGGGAATTTTAGGTAAATATACATGCAGATAAGGCATTTACAGCAAAATACTAACGACTGCTCATTTTAGGTGCATGTGTGTCTCTACGTAGGTGTGTATGTGTGTGCATATGTATGTGTGCACATGTGTATATGTATGTACATACAAAGAGCTAAGTCTACACATATTATACGATTATCTCAACTTGCTGCATGTCTGAGATTTTTCATTAAATAAAAAAACAAACAGGGGCATCTGGGTGGCTCAGTTAAGTGTCTGACTTTGGCTTGGGTCATGATCTCAGGGTCCTGGGACCGAGCCCTGCACTGGGCTCCACACTCAGCAGGGAGTCTGCTTTTAAAAAACAAACAAACAAAAGGAAGTATTTTAGGAATGTCATGGGTAACCATCTTTATCATGGCATTTTTGCTATCACTTCTTAAAATTTTATTCTACTAACCAAGACAATAAATAATATTTTTTAGCTTGTGTTAGGAAGCCCTGAAAATGTTAGGGAATGTAGAGAAATAAGCAGAGGCTAGCACTTTCCAGCCAGATAAAAAAATCCCTGCAGTACCCTTGGAAATAAATGTGGCATCCTAATGCTCTCATGTCTCATTTGAAAAATCAGTCATTTGAAAAATCTATTGCAACAGGCATAGATTACATATATTACAGGCTTGCCTTAAGACATCACCAGTGTTTGTTCATCCACATTACATCACAACTTTAGTGCAGGCAATACCAACATCACCAAATCACAGATAAAGACACAGAGAAGTTAGTGACTTGCCCAAAGTTACACAACTATAGAGAAGTGGCATCAAATCTGGGGACCTACTATAACCACATGTCATACAGCCTCTATGCTAGGGAGACAAGAATACATGTAAAACATTTAAAACTATAGGGGCGCCTGGGTGGCTCAGTCGGTTAAACGTCTGCCTTCAGCTCAGGTCACTGATCTCAGGGTCCTGGGATCGAGCCCCACACTGGGCTCCCTGCTCTGCGGGGAGTCTGCTTCTCCCTCTCCCACTGCCTGCCGCTCTGTCTACTTGTGCTCTCTATCTCTCTGTCAAATAAATAAATAAATAAAATCTTTAAAAAAAAAAAACATTTAAAACTATATAGTGTAATAACCCCTGAAACAAATAATGTTAATAAAAAGAAAAAAAAAACCTAAATAAAAGAAATAATACATAACCCATTAAAAGAAAAAAAACTATATAGAGTAATAAATAATTAGATGTTCCAAAGGTGACAAAGAGAAAAAGAATAAAACACAATCGGGTCCACACTGTCACAGAAGGCACCAGGGGGAACACAGATTTCTGTGAAGAATGTCAAGATCTGGAAAGCCTGCCATTAGAGGGCAGCACACAGGTAGTTACGAGGGAAGCCAGGACCCACACCAGGCCCAGAGGGAGCTGACATCGTAGAGGACTCAGCCACGTGCAATACATACGTAGAGTTCTTCAAACTGTTTCTGAATTTCACTATCCATTTCAATAGCATTAAAATTTGGATCTCTAATAGGAAATGCTTCAATGAACAACAGGGCAGCATTTGACCGGACTTCAGAGTTTCGGGCCTGGAATAAGGAAAGGGTGTTTCAGAATCTAAGGCGCAAACATTCAAAGGCTTCAGTGTAGATTTCCTAAATACTGCTTCTAAGTATCTCAATACAGACTTACTTACAAATTAAAGACAATCACAATCTTTTAACTGACCAAACTTAGGAGACCTTCCGTGAGCTAAACCAGACTCGTGGCTCACTAATCACAGATATTAAAAGACCCGGGGGCACCTGAGTAGCTCAGTTGGTTAGCAAGTGACTCTTGAACTCAGCTCAGGTCTTGATCTCAGGGTCATGAGTTCAAGCCCCAAGTTGGGCTCCACGCATAGAGCCTACTTAAAAAAAAAAAGAGTACAAACCATTTGTTTTGGGGGCACCTGGGTGGCACAGTTGGTTAAGTCTCCAACTCTTGCTTTCAGCTGAGGTCATGATCTCATGGGTCATGAGACTGAGCCCCAGGTCAGGTTCCCCACTCAGTGGGGAGTCTGCTTGAGATTCTCTCCCTCTGCACCTTCCCCCCCACACACTCTCTCTCTAAAATAAATACATAAATCTTCTTAAAAAAATAAAGACCTGATTCCTTGCCTCAAAGTCCACCTTGCGTCACTAAGAAACAGTGACTATCTCTCTCCCAACACTAGACTGACCATGTTGAAAGTTACTCATGTTCATTCCAGCACCCCTGGAAGGTTGTCATCCTGTGCCTTAGTCATTAGCAGAAGGTCCTGAGGGCCAGGAGGCCCAGCTCAGCTATGCAGACCCCCAGTGCTTCTGCTGGTTCACAGGGCATGACAAACCCCCTTCCCACTGTGGAGTCAGCCTAAACCAATTCAGATTCCCAGTCTAATAGGCCTAAAAATGTTTTTAATAAAAGAATAAAACATTTATCCCGAAATTTCACAAAGCCCCCAGCTCCCAGTCTTATCTGTACTGCCTTATCACAATTCTGAATTAGAGCACAATCAATTCAAAAGCGTAATTAGCATGTTCTTAACATGGACGGGGTATTTAACAGCTGTACCTTTAGTCCTCTCCAAAGGATGGGTTTATATAGTCTGTAAAGCATCTCTTCCACTCCCTGACGAACTTTCTTTTGATGATGAAAATAACTCAGCACCTAAGAGCCAAGGAAAGAAGAAAGGTCATGTTGTTTTAAAAGAGAGCACTTAAGATCCTACTTTGAAGAGAGAGGGCAGGTTGTCCTCACCAAAGCAGACCCTCGGTGCTTCAGTCTTGACAATTCTTTCCTAAGAGGAGACGATACAATGATAGATATACTGACAGTACTGAACATGTGAGAGACATCACATGAAAGAAGCCTACGGCAGAAATAAAGATCAATGACCTTGGGTTATAAAAGCTGTGGGTTGTAGTTTCTACTCTTCTACCAACAGTCAAATAATCTCCAAAAAGTTCACTGAGACCTCTGACCTTCAGGATGAAGTAGAAAAGGAGTGTGTGCAAAGGAGTTGGCCTGAATGGTCTCTGCAGCCCCTCCTGGTTCCAAAATGAGCTGGCTGTAAGTCTCCTTTGCTCTAGGAAGAGCATCTGAAACAAGCACATGTCTCAAAGCAGGTGTCACTGCTCAGTGGCCCTTCACAGTACAGCCTAACTTAGATGCCGACCCTCCCCAGCTCACGAGCTATCGGAGAAGGGCCGTGCGCTCAGCTTCCACCCCTCTGCCTCTTCCTACTCTTCACCAGCCACAATCTTCCCGCAACTCTCCAGACTCTCATCTCCAGCAACGGTCAGTTTTGCCTTACTTCCTTAAGTCACCTCTCTTGGAACTAAAATTTTATTATTGAAAAGTGGAAAATAAAAATTAAACAGCTTATCCAACAATAAATTATACTTTAAGTGAGCCTGAATCAACTTTACCCTAAAAGAACTACAGTCTGGGGATTATTTCTTCTGATTGAGAATTCTTTATTTGGCAATTTTTATTGATGGTAATAAGTGATATTAGACTATAATTTTTTTGTGCGTGTACAATATTACCAAGTTTTGGTATCAATGGTACACTCACTTTACAGAAAGACTTTTTTTTTAAGATTTTATTTATTTTAGAGAGAGCAAGAGAGCACAAGCAGGGGGAGCAGCAGAGGGAGCAGCAGAGGGAGAAGGAGAAGCAGGCTCTCCATTGAGCAAGGAGCCCAATGCAGGCTCGATCCCAGGTTCCTAGGATCATGACCTGAGTCAAAGGCAGATGCTTAACTAACTGAGCCACCCAGGCACCCAAGAAAGATTTTATTTTTATTAATTAATTAATTTATTTTAAGTAGGCTCCATGCCCAGCATGGTGCCCAACATGGGGGTTAAACCCATAACCCTGAGATCAAGAGCTGAGACCAACAGTCAGACACTCAACTGACTGAGTCACCCAGGTGCTCCTTTACAGAAAGATTTTTTAAATTTTCTTTTTAAAGATTTTATTTATTTATTTATTAGAGAGCAAGCGAGAGAGAAACAGCATGAGAGGGGAGAGGGTCAGAGGGAGAAGCAGGCTCCCCGCTGAGCCAGGAGCCCGATGCGGCACTCGATCCCAGGACTCCAGGACCATGACCCGAGCCGAAGGCAGTCGCTTAACCAACTGAGCCACCCAGGCGCCCTACAGGAAGATTTTTAAACAGTGTTATTGAGTTATAAATCCCATACCATAAAAGTCACTCTTTTAAAGTATACAATTCAGTGGACTTTAGTATATTCACAGAGTTGGGTAACCATTCCAAGTACCTAATGTTAGAAGATTTTCATCAAGGGGAGCCTGGGTGGCTCAGTCAATTAAGCGTCTGCCTTCGGCTCAGGTCATGATCCCAGGGTCTTGGGATCGAGCCCCACATCGGGCTCCCTGCTCCGTGGGAAGTCTGCTTCTCCCTCTCCCACTCCCCCTGCTTGTGTTCCTGCTCTTGCTGTGTCTCTCTGTCAAATAAATAAATAAAATCTTTAAAAAAAAAAAAAAAAAGATTTTCATCAACGGTATGGGGATTTTTACTTTCAAATAACATCTGAAGCATTTCCTAAAGCTTCTTTCAACATACTAGTAAAATAATTTATCATACAAATGTAATGTTTACCAAAAAAAGGGATTTGAGAAAGAAGCTACAATGTGTTATAAGCAATAAGAATTAAGAGTCCAGGAATATACTGCATTCAAAAAGTGAAATTTAATATTCTTCCTTTTAATTCTTTGTATTTTCCCATAGTTTTACCAGTGATATCTCTATTTACAATATTTTAATTACTCAGACTACCAGAGCAGAAAACCAAATATGAAAAAAAGTCTTGCAGAAAAAAAAGTCTTTAGTTATTTGGTACCAAGAAGGAAGCGATTATGTCACAAATTTATCCAGTTTAACACACTGCCATTCTTTATGACTAAACAGAATCTGAAACGCCAAATAAATGTCCAAGCTGACCTATAACTTAATGAAGCCACACTAAGATTGTGTGTCATTGGGGGTGGGGGGCGGGAGACAATTGGATATATTTATCTCCAGGTTTTTTATCTTTGGATAACTCAAACTAAAGTATCAATAATGTAAAGAAATGTCTTCTTTTCCTTTCAAGCTTTTATAATTAGTATATTTACATTCTATAAATAATAATTTCACTATATAAGAAAATAAAGAGAGAGTCTTTGTTCATTTAGCTTCTTAGTATACGGTTGCCAAAATTAACAGCAAACACACAAGGCATCACTCCTGGGTTAGGACCCTGATCTTATGTCCTAAACAGACCACATTTTCCAATTCCTCCTGCCAAGGTCATTATGATTATCAAACACCTAACAGTGTCATTATGACACTGATAATAAAGCCTTATTTAGTCAGATCATTTACAATGGAAGTATAAAATTCATATCTAAATTCTGAGACTAGCTTTTAAAAAATTTTTATTGTAGGTAAATTCTACACCACATGTGGGGCTCAAACTCAGGACCCTGCAATCAAGAGTCGCATGCTCTACTAACTGAGCCAGCCAGGCGCCCTGAGATTAGCTTTTAAAAACAAAATCCTTAATATTAAAAGAAACTACCCAAACATTTATTCCATTTGGTTTACAGAACATCAAAATGAAAATTTAATGTATGAAAGCAAATAATAAAAATAATCTCGAATATTCTTTTTTGAAAAAGTGGTAGTGGCAGTTAGTAACGATTCTGGACATTTTTATGTCAGAGAATTTAAAGATTATTTGAATGAAGTTCTTTCTTAACAACATACTTTTCTTCTCCTAGTTAAAACTGCCAGATACCAAATATCAAGATTTTGAGCAAGCCCTTTAAAAGCTGATGCTTGTGAGGGGTTAACTTAATTTTTAAATTTAACAAAACAATAATCTGAAAACAAAGAAGCTGAGACATTATCTAAAAAAACCCATGACTGGTGTGGGGGCAAGTGCTTTGCTCACCTCGCGCACCCTGGGATGCACTGGAGACCTGCGCGGAAGGTGGATCCCATGGTGCATGAAGTCCTGGATGCACCCGTTTTCGATTGTCTGGAATGGCAAGCACAGTGTTAGTACTCAGTGTGCGTGTGTGCTCCAACAGATGACAGGACAGTCAGTGCGGCTGCTGGAGTCAGCTCTGTTCATCTACTTCATGAGGGAAAGCACCAGGATCCCCTGATCAGAGCTTTCCTATTTTTTTTTTTTTTTTAAGATTTTATTTATTTGCAAGAGAGAGAATGAGAGACAGAGAGCATGAGAGGGAGCAGGGTCAGAGGGAGAAGCAGACTCCCTGCTGAGCAGGGAGCCCGATGTGGGACTCAATCCCCGGACTCCAGGATCATGACCTGAGCTGAAGGCAGTTGCTTAACCAACTGAGCCACCCAGGCGCCCAGAGCTTTCCCATTTTAAATCTGTACCTCTTAGAATCCCTTTAGTTTTGATATTCCTTTAGCTTCTTCTATCTTATTTGATGAAATATCAAATCTGTGCTAGATGGCACAGCAAGCTTCTCCCTACCACTTGAGGCTATTTCAAGCCAGATGGCTCAGGGACTGAGCATGGCCTAAGGGCCTCTCTTCTAAGTCATCCTGACCCAGAGGACCTCAGAGACTGGATCTGTTCCAACAGGCTCCCCAGAGCTGATGCTGAACTACCTTGAACGTGGGGGCCAGGACTCCAAAGTGACTAAAACAAGCTCTTTCAGGGCTCCCGTGGAGAAGGGCAAGGTTAGGGTGTGGGTAGCTCTTCGGTAAGCCCACAATACCTACAGACCTCCAGAGCCGGGCAAAGGACGCGGAGCCAACCACTGGGAGCAGCCCAAATCACCAGTGGACCCTCTGGTCTATTACCCTATACCCCCACACCTGGGGTCCCACGGCTTTAGGGAAGGACACAAGGAAAGCCTGCTACTACTATTAGCCTCCTTCATTACCTCTGAAAATACTTCCTTCACATGAAGCCACTAATAAATCTTAGCCTCACTCCATGTGGGGAACCACACACTGACTTGTGATGAATTGGGGTACGTGGCACTACCTATTGAGTATTTGTGCCACAAAAGTTGAACCTTTAGAGTTAACTACCAGAATATAGACATTCTATAGGACAACTGACCCAGTTTCTTCAACATTTCCATGAATGGCACAAGTTTTAAAAAACAGAAAAGGGGGGCGGGGAGGAATGCTCTGAGAGAGTTAAATGACATAACAAGCAAATGCCATAGGAGACGTATTGAATCCTGAATCAAAAAAAAAAAAACAACTATAAAAAGACATCTTTGAAACAAAGCAGAGAAATTTAAATATTTTCAAAAATACCCAGAAATTGTTAATTTTGTTAAGTATGTTAATGGCATTGTATAACCATATTCCTTAGAGACGCATACTGAAGTACATAGATATGAGATGTCATATTTGGAACTTGCTTTAAAAATCTGAAAGGAGGGAGGAAGGGAGGGAAGGCAGAGAGCCTGAGAAGTACAAAGAGCTGGCACTAATTTGGTACAGACTCAATCAAACAGTTACGTTTTTAACTACTAACACCCATTTTTTGTTTAATTGGGCTTTATTTATTTTTAGTGATCTCTACACCCAACGTGGGGTTCAAACCCATGACTAGACATCAAGAGTTTCACACTCCACTGACAGAGCCAGCCAGGCACCCCTACAAACATCTAATTTTAAAACCACTATTGGAGAAAAGGGGGACAAATATTCTTTCCTGTGAACAAGTATCATGCAATAATAAAACAATGCAGAAATGCACAGCAATGTCCTGGTTTTGCCCTTTCCTCCAAAAAATTTTACACCGCAAAATGATCGTGGATGTTGTCAGCAGGGGATATGAGCGACCAAGTTTTATCTTCTAGAAGTGGAAGTCGGTGATAAACCAAGCTCAAGCTGCACAGGAGCAGAGTGGACAGAAGGAAGCTCCAGACATCAGTGAAACCTTCCCTGACCCACCAGCTCAGGGCCTGCTCCCTGAAGAGCAAACACCCCTCTTTGCCTTAGAGTAAAAATTTTACTCTTGGAAAGAAAACATGTTTGAGAATGTAGTATGGGGAAAACATAAAGGATATCAGACCAAAACACTTTCTTTTGATATTCTTCCAAAAGGGCCTTTGAGTCTTATTGTGATTGTGAATTATACAAACACATCTTCATAAAGCAGATATTACACAGCCATTCAAGGTTAGCCATATTCAAGATAAATGTCTTTCCATTCTCAAAAATAACGTAACTAAAAGGTAAGAGGTAGTTTGAGGTTCCAGAGCAGCACAGCCCAACAGAAACAGAACCCTAACCACAAATGCAATTTTAAATTTTCTGGTAGCAACATTAAAAACAAAAAAAAGAAACAGGTAAAATTATTTTAGTAATATATTTTGTTCAGCCCAATATAGCCAAAACATTATCATTTCAACATGCAATATTTTAAAAACACATTCATAGATATTTTACATTCTTCTTTCCCCACTATGTCTTCAAAATCTGGTGTGTTTCTCACACAGCACATCTCAGCTCACACTGGACACATTCCCAGTGCACGGCTGGACAACACAGGCCTAATAAAGCTACCAAACTGATACAGGGCACATCTCAATGAGTGGCAGGAATCTTGGGTCTGTGACTGAGCATGAAAATTTATGGGAATGAGAGTGAAATCTCCATCCCATGAAGTCTCATTATCTGGCTTTATTTTGACAAAGAGCATCAACACAGATTTGATTTTATTTTAATTTTTTTATCAACACAGATTTTAAATGACTATCCATGACAACTTATTTAGTAACTAGAATACAACAAAAATAAATGTTAACGTTTAAGAAAATACCTCCAATATTTTCCCTGAAGCCTTTTTCCAAGCTCTGAAATAAATTTCTGCAATGTGTACCATCAAAGATCTACGGGGGGAAAAAAAAGTTAATGCAAGTTCAAACCATTAGACTTTTTTTTTTTAAGTTTATTTGTTTTTGTTTTTTTTAGTAAACTCTACACCCAACATGGGACTCAAACTCGTGACCTCAAGATCAGGAGGGGCTCACTCTTCCGACTGAGCCAGCCAAGGGCCCCCAAACAATCACATTCTTAACGTGTGTCAGTTCAGGCTCCCTCCTACCCCAGAGAAGGAGAAACGCCGCTACAAACTAGTGCTCTGCCAACTACCTACAGAGACAGGTTATATACCTGTGGCAGGAAGGAGAAAAAGGAAGAAATTTTGAGAAGGGGAACTGAAGTATCAAATGATTTTCTTCCTCCTCAGTCAAGGTTTCCCCAGATCTTTACTATTTTCTGTGAAATTATGAGAACATAAGCTGAGAACCAAATTCTTTTTTTTTTTTTTTTAAAGATTTTATTTATTTATTTGACAGAGAGAGACACAGTGAGAGAGGGAACACAAGCAGGGGGAGTGGGAGAAGGAGAAGCAGGCTTCCCGCAGAGCAGGGAGCCCAATGCGGGGCTCGATCCCAGGACCCTGGAACAACGACCTGAGCTGAAGGCAGACACCCGACGACTTAGCCACCCAGGCGCCCCTGAGAACCAAATTCTTGAGTAAAAAAATGTTTAAATTTATAAATAAAATTTTGACTTGGGAGTCAATTTTGGACTTCCCAGACTACTAATTCCCTAAAATACAGAGTTGATTTTTAGAATCAGTTTTAGAAATCTACTGGTTCGACCCAAATATTTTGCCAGTGAGGAAACAGGAGGAGAAAGCATTCTAGCAAACAGCAGGAACTGTATCATAGGGATTCAGAGTCAAATCTCAGCTCAGTACTTAAGCACAGCTAGCTACCTGACAGGGAAACTCAGCAACAAAGCCCACCTCAAGAGCTGAAGTATTCCATTTGAAAATGCACACTAAGTACTCAGCTGCAGAGCGGATTAAGCACTGAGCCCACAACAAACATTCATTTGCCACGACAGCTCCAAGTGCTCTGATGTTCCAAGAGGCTGGGAGCTCAGGCTTGTGAGTACATCCCTAGACTCTTACCCTGCAGGACTCTTCCCATCAAATCACATAGCTCAGTCCACAGTAAACTGGAAAGTAGACATTACATTCAAATGGTATCAGAAGTGCTGGAGACATGAAATTTACTGCACCCGAAGCCAAGATTTAACTGGTAAATAATTTGACTACTTAAAGAATGAACATAAATTAAAATCTTAAATTCAATGTCATTACTGAAAAAGAACGATTTCCTACAGCAGGGAAAAAACTATCCAGTGATACAACACTACATAATAAATACATAGTAAAAACAACAGCACACAATAAAAATAGTACATAAGAAATAATATAACCTAAGACAGAATTTTTAAAACTTCCAATACATTAATATAACTTTAAAAGTCAGGTCAAATAGAGTATTTCATAATCAGATTAAGACAGCACAAAATATCAATTGCCTTTGATACTTACTTTTGTAATCCCTGTAACTGGTTTTTAATGGTCTCATGGATCATTTTAATAAAATTTATATTCCAATTGAAGAGAGAACTAAGAAATCTTCTTCCCTATAAATAAAAAAAAAAAAGATATAATGTTGAAATTGCAACCAAGTAAAAAGTTCCTGATAACTAAAAAACAAACAATTCTTTGGATGTTCAGTAACACGAAAGTGTTACTCCCAGTGAAGGAAGCATACGTAATTGTAACTCAGGACAGCAGTCGGGGCCTTTGAGTGACAGAGCTGGGCTGCAGGGCAACGGCAAGACCTCCCCTCTGGAGGGCCTAGCAGCAGACACCACTGACCTCCTTCTGTGCTTGACCACAGGATTGCAAAGACATGTACCATGCTGCCCAGTAGCTAAATTAAACGGTCCACAAACATTTCATTCTGGCTCTATCTTATGTATAAGCTAAAATCAAAGAATGCTTAAAACCTAGCATTTTGGGGTGGAATGGAACTGAACATCACTTGATTTCATCTTTTATAAATGAGAAAACTGAGGACTTGTTAAGAGGCTAAGTATCTGCCAAACTAGAATTTTCAAATACACCTACGCCCCATGTTAATTTATATGCATACTACTAGACGACACGCGACCCTCAAAAGCAGTTAATACCATACTTACACTCTACACAGCATATAAAATACATCCACCAAGAATTTCCCCACGAACAACATCATCACCTCTTCCCTGTTACCAGTCAACCACTACTGTCTCTGGAATCTACAGAAATTCAACACACTTTGATACAAATAGCAGGGTACCCATGCTTGCAACAAGTTAAAAACAAAAAGTACTTACTGTAATTTGCCATTATAGCACAAGATATTTGTCATTTACCCAGAATGACTGGAAACTGAACTAACCAAAGTAAGGACTCATTAGGAAACTAAGTTTAGATATCATAAATTCAAAAGACATCAATCAAAAAAAGGGGGGGAGTGTTAACACAAACATATATTTACGTCTTTACTATCTACTCGCATTCACACACACACAGGTTGATGTGCAGGTCACCATCCACTACGTACAAGTCACTATAAATAGAGCTAACTTGTCTGAACCCACTTTCAGCTACTTTGCTCTCCTCACATTCAACCATAGTCCTGAAGATGCCAAGGGCACAGGCCTCAGGTGCAGCCTCTTTTCCAACAACAATGATTCAGTGATAGCAATAAGCAGTTAGAGCACCTCCCACATGCTCAGTCCCTGCCAGGTACTGTGCTAAAAGGTTCTACACACGTCACCTCGTGTGCTCCTCAGGAGTCCTGAGAAAGATCCACTGTGGTTCCTATTTTACAGAAGGAAACACCAGGTTCAAAGTAGTCCGATCAAGGTCACCACCTAGTAAGTGAACCAACAGGGATCTAAAAACAGCCTTTCTGGCCTGGGAGCTGAAGGTCTTGGTCAGCATGGTCAGTAACCACATATGGCCCTTTAACCTAGCTGGCTGGAGAGGGTGCACTGGAGTAGGCAAAGCATGACCATGTCTTTGCCCCTGACTAGCTACAGGACCTTGAACAAACTCTTCATTTATGGGCCTCAAAACTGGTTCTCATCCTCCTGCTCCAAGAAGTCTTTCCCCACCTACTTCAGGGAGGAGCGACGACCTCCTCCTTTTGCTTCGTGTGTGTCTGTGAGGCAACGAGCAATCAGAAACAAAACCTATTTTCTGTAATATCAACAACAATCTTCTTTGCATCCCTCACATGGGAATACAGTCAATGTTCAATAAAGGACTACATAAGAATCCCAAGATAACAATTCAGAACTGTGGGGCGCCTGGGTGGCTCAGTTGGTTAAGCGACTGCCTTCGGCTCAGGTCATGATCCTGGAGTCCCGGGATCGAGTCCCATATCGGGCTTCCTGCTCAGCAGGGAGCCTGCTTCGCCCTCTGACCCTCTTCCCTCTCATGCTTTCTATCTCTCATTCTCTCTCTCTCTCAAATAAATAAATAAAATCTTTAAAAAAAAAAAAAAAACAATTCAGAACTGTCCAAGAGAACTATGCAAGCCACTCTATAATTTTTTTAATTTTCTAATCGCCACATTAATAAAAGTAAAAAAGATTAATTTTAATAATATATTTCTATAAGACAACCTATCCAAAATATCATTTAAATATGTAATAAATATATAAAAATTGTTAATGAGCTATTTTACATTCTTTTTTTATAGTAAGTTTCGAATCCATGTACTTTACACTGAAGGCCACAGTTTGGCCATAGTCCACGTGCTCAGTAGCTACATGTGGAATGACCACCAAAATGGACAGTACAGCAGTGGCCAGAAGCTTCTCTCTGGATTGACTAGATGGCAGGAAAAAAGAAATCGAGAATATTGCGTGATGATGGTTCTGAGTAAATGCCAATTAGCCTGGAATTAGGGCAGAGGGTTGGGTCTGATCTACTGGGAAATGCTTTCTCAATCTTATTTTTAATTATTCTTTTTTTTCTTTCATTGAAAAAAGAACTTTTTTTTTTTTAATTTTGTTAGCAAACATACAGTGCAATGTTGGTTTCTGGAGAATTCAGTGATTCAGCACTTACACACAACACCCAGTGCTCATCACAAGTGCCCTCCTTAATGCCCATCACCCATGTAGCCCATCCCCACCCAATCATTCTTAAAATGCAATCACAGTTCCCCCAGGATTCACAGCCACCTATGACCATCTGATTTAATGATGAAATAAGCAACAATTTGTAAAATGTGTGAATATTGCTATGAGGCAAAAATGTGCAATAAATGTAACAACTCTTGATAGCTAGGCTGACTCATTAGAACACTGAGCATGGTACAAGAGCAACTAGATGAACTTAGGAAAAACATCCATTAAAAAGCAGTACACAAAAACACCAAAAAAGAAAAACCTAGTTACCTCTTCTTTCTTGATATATTTAACACTTATGAAACACTCAAGTAGCATATCTTTAATTTCTTTACTTTCCTCTAAATCATAATCAAAGCAATATAAAGCTTGATGAATACGCCAAAGCCGACATATGTCTGCACCCTAGGAATGACATAAAAAGGAAAGATGTTAGTTTTTTAATAAATAATTAAGGTCACATTTCAAATTTACAATAAGAATACTTTATATAATAAATAATTACAACTCTGGATTATTCATCAAAAAGGAAGAAACTGTGGCAAAAGCACACAGAAGCACCGATAGGCAGCACTGTCTGGTTTCTGCGGTGTGGAGTCCAAGTGTGCAGCCACCAGCCCCATCAGGCTACAGAGCACGAAGTGTGACTGGTGCGATGAGGGACCCAGCGTGTAGTTTTCTTCACTACAAGTGAAACTTAAGTAGCCCCATGCTGCTAGTGGTGCCCAAACACCGATGGCACAGGTGTAAAACACCAGAGAGACATAAAGTCTTGATTTAAAAGCGAAACAAAAAGGCGGAAAAAATGGACTTTTTTTCTTGAAAACAGATTTTTAAAAAGAGAAACCAACAGTGGCTTAAGGGTAAATGCTGACAATCCTATGGTGAGCTGAGGGAGCAGCCTGTCTTTTCTGTCATCATACTGGCGGCTCCTTGGAGGCCACGGTGAGACAGACACACAGACAGTGGGAGTGTGATGAAGGGCAAGCTGGCTAGAAAGCTGTTGGCAATGTGTATCAAGAGCTCCAAATGTGCATCAAGTTCAAACCCACTGATCTATGAATTTCATTTCTAGGAATCTGTCATAAGGAAGTAAAGGTATGGGGGGGAAAAAGACAAAGAGAAATTCCTAAGCGTCCCTAAAATAGGAATGACCACCTTAGGTAGTGGAATTACAGAGGATTTTTATCTTCCTCATTTTCCCTTTTCTTCATTTGCCCACTTTTCTAAGATGAACATAAGTATCTGTTGTTCTCTTGATCAGGGGATACAAACTGTTCTTTTTCTGGATTTCTTAACTAGACACCAAAGATGAAAGGCTGAGAAATGGACCAAGTTAAATCCAAACCTCAAATCTGCTCTCCAAAACTTTATCAGACCTAGGCTGCAGTCTGACACAACCCCACCCCCTACGGGTGTCGCGCCTGCCCCTGGGCCTGAGGCGTTCCCTACCACTCCTGCCCCTTCACCCTTCATGACGCTGTCCAACCCTATGCAGCCCGAGGTGGGGTCTGCCTCTCAGAGGACCCCACCAACACAGGCAGCCACTCCCACTTACCGATCTCAGTCACCTCATCCCTTCTTCACTACTAAAAATACCCACTTTTGCTAACAGCGGCAATGTATCCCTCCAAAAACCCCATTTGCAGCAAACAAATGTGGCCATGTGACCCAGTTCTGGATGGTGGATACAAGTTGAGAACTTCTGAGAAGGTCTGGCCCTTGCTGCCTCCCTGCCTCTTCTTCCTACCTGGAACTCACATGAGACAGTGAAGTGCAGCAGCCACCTTGCTACCATGAAATGATAAGAGGGAGGACAAGGACCACACACCCCAAAAGATGGAGGAGAAAGCCCGCATAAAACTGCAATGTGGATGGGGTGTCTGGGTGGCTCAGTCGTTAAGCATCTGCCTTTGGCTCAGGTCATGATCCCGGGGTCCTGGGATTGAGTCCCACATTGGGCTCCCTGCTCAGCGGGGAGCCTGCTTCTCCCTCTGCCTGCCTGTATCTCTCTCTCTGACAAATAAATAAAATCTTAAAAAAAAAAAAAAAAAAGGACTGCAATGTGGAGCCGCCGCCCACTGTCCACCCCTGAATATCTTAAGTTAAAAAGACCCTAACTGGGGAAGCAACTGCAGTCAGGCCACTTACAAGTGAACATAATTCCTAACTGGTATGAACACATGCACTATTAAAGGAAGGTATGTATTTTAAAAAGTAAACATACTGTTTTGGTCTCTAGACTCTTCCTTAATAGCATAATAAAAGCAGTCTTTCCCATATCTTCCTTGGCAGGCAGGCCTTTCTCCCACCATATGACACATAAATCCTGAATGGAACTCTGCAGCTTTTTTTCAGATTCAGGTAATGCATATAAAATACCTAAAACAGCACAGTAATTGTTCAGTTAGTAAACAAATATTAGTTCAGATTCAATAGTGTAAAGTACTGACTCACAAAGGTTTCCTAAGCAAACATTTATGTTTAACTTGCCACAAATTTATATACATTCAAAGAATACAAACGATGTGGGGCACCTGGGTGGCTCAGTCGGTTAAGCGGCCGCCTTCGGCTCAGGTCATGATCCCAGGGTCCTGGGATCGAGCCCCACATCGGGCTCCCTGCTCTGCAGGAAGCCTGCTTCTCCCTCTCCCACTCCCCCTGTTTGTGTTCCCTCTCTCGCTGTGTCTCTCTCTGTCAAATAAATAAATAAAATCTTTAAAAAAAAAAAAAAGAATACAAACGATGTGAACTTAAAAAAAACTGTTAACTACTGTTATAAAAGCAGACCCAACAGAATACAGAATTTTAGAACTGGAAGACTCAGAAGGGTCACATTGTCCAAATCCCTCACTAAAGAGAGGCAGGTATTCAAACTACCCAAACATAAGTGCTACAACATCCACAGGTAACAACAACAAAACCAGGTCAGGTGTGGCAACCACTAATCCACTACACCTGTCCTTCATAGGTTGGCTTCAAATCCTGGCTCACCGGTGAAAAACAGTAAAAGCAATAATTACAATGAATACAAAAACTGCAGTGCTTTTATTAATAGAAAAGCTCAAGAATGAAATGAAAATATTGATAATATACTCATAATTATAATCCATAGATATCCGAATGCCATTACATCCATGTTAAATTCCTGAATCAGTGGGAAGTTAGGAACAACTACAATTTTAGCATTAATCATTTTACAAAACAGTTATTTGGAGACTATAAAAATAAATTGTAGTAACATTCACAAAGCACTGGGAATTATTTATATACCGATTAGGGGTAACTTCTCAAGACATTGTATTTCAATGCAAAAATTCTGAATAAAACAGATACATAAATCCAAGTCTAAGAATGGAAAGTCTGATGTGAGAGTTTGTCACATGGAACTAATTAATTCACAGGGTGAAGGTGAGATCACGTAGGTGATTTTTCTTAAAACTCATTAAAATTACTTTTGAATCTTTTTTTATTTATAAAAGTTTTATGTAAATATTTTATAATCAGATATTCTAATTCCTAGTGTTCCTCCTAAATTAATAACCACAGTTTCACAGTTTAGTTAAAACCTAAAAAGCACCATCATATAAATTGTAATCGTAAAGCTCCCCTAAGAGTCAATAATTATTCCTCAGGTCATGTTCATGACATATTTAAAGAAAAAAATGCAGTGTCACAAATGCTTGGTTAAGCTGAAACTTTCTGGCAGTAATCACCAGCTGAGGAATTTATAATCAGACCATTTTCCCTTAATAAGCTCTTATCACTACGGTCCTGTAGGTCAAATAAGACATTCCGGAAAATCTGAAAACAAGCAGTCAGTTGTTCAGTATGTACGTTTTCACCATCTGAAATAGTTCTATGTGGCTTAAATTACATCAGTTCATCAGGACAGCCCTTAAAAGAATACTTCTTTGCTCCTTTTCTAGCTGAAGTAAAGGAGCTTGAATGCAAAGTTATGCCTTAATACTTGCACTTCTACATGATGACTGGTTTCCTTTTACAGAGAATCATTAGATGCCCACCTCTAAACATGCCATGTTATCACAAATTCAACTTACCATTCAACATAACTGCACATTCCAGTAAGTCTTCATAGTTCTCACTTTCATTTATTACAGATACAGAAGCAAGAACCACAGATGTAACTGCATGAATTATCTCTATGTTTTTTTCCTACAAATGAAAAAAATCAAAGTTCAAGTGATTTAAGATCAACTTAAAATATAATTTTTAAAAGAAATGTGAAAGTTACAGGGCGCCTGCGTGGCTCAGGTGTTAAGCGACTGCCTTCAGCTCAGGTCATGATCCTGGGGTCCCGGGATCGAGTCCCACATCGGGCTCCCTGCTCAGCGGGGAGTCTGCTTCTCCGTCCGACCCTCCCCCCTCTCGTGCTATCTCTCATTCTCTCTCTCTCAAATAAATAAATAAAAATCTTTAAAAAAAAAATGTGAAAGTTACTAAATTTATAAAAATGAACCCACACTTCTAGCTTGTTCTAAAAAGTGAATTAAAATTGAATACAGGTCAGTTGTCCAAAAAGGACAGCAACATTAAATAGCAGATTAGTAACAGCAGGATTGGAAAAAGTAAAACTATAATAAACAGACTTCTAATATTCTTAACTTCTAGCTTTAAGTTTAACTTAAAATTCAATTATATACACTATTTTTTGACAAAGGGGATGTGACAAGTTCTCTATTTGAAAGACTACTACTACCGTGTTGGGGTCACGCTCTGTCTCCATATTCTCTTCACCCTGGACTTCCACCGTCTGCCACCCAGACACTGGGCTTCCTAACAACACATCTATTAATAAATTCTTGAGCCTTTGCCATAGCTCTTCTTTCTGTTTCCTTGATAATTCGTCTAGTAATTCATTTAGGCTGAAAGGGTCAGAAGCATCTTTCTGCAAAATAAATAGCAACTGTTATATTTCAAATACAAAAATTAGTTCTATCCCTTCTATAACAGCATCAAAAGTTTAAGTGCTAAGTTAATTATCATTTCAAGAGCTGAGTTGTAGTTTTGAAATACTTTTCCTGTATAGGAATAACGAGACAGAAAGTAGTAGATTTCGGGGCGCCTGGGTGGCCAAGTTGGTCAGCGTCTGCCTTCGGCTCAGGTCGTCATCGCAGGGCCCTGGGATCTCAAGCCCCACACTGGGCTCCCTGCTCCGCGGGGAGTCTCCCTCTCCCTCTGCCCCTCTGCCCCTCTGCCAGCTTGTGCTCTCCATCTCTCTCTAATAAATAAATTTTAAAGATAAAATAAAAAAATAAAATAGAAAGTAGCAGATTCCTCCTCTACCTATTCAGCCCTAGTAACCTGGTCTTTGGAGTTTAAAATTTCACCCACTTAGGGCGCCTGGGTGGCTCAGGTGGTTAAGCGACTGCCTTCGGCTCAGGTCATGATCCTGGAGTCCCGGGATCGAGTCCCACATCGGGCTCCCTGCTCAGCGGGGAGTCTGCTTCTCCCTCTGACCCTCTCCCCTCTCATGCTCTCTATCTCATTCTCTCTCTCAAATGAATAAATTAAAAAAATCTTTAAAAAAAGAAGCTAACGGGCGCCTGGGTGGCTCAGATGGTTAAGCAACTGCCTTCGGCTCAGGTCATGATCCTGGGGTCCTGGGATCGAGTCCCGCATCGGGCTCCCTGCTCCTTGGGAGCCTGCTTCTCCGTTTCTCTCTCTCTCTCTCTCCGTCTCTCATGAATAAATAAATAGAATCTTTAAATAAATAAATAAATAAAGCCAGCCAACAAGTCAGACAACTGAATGCAATGTGCAATACTGAATGGGGTCCTGGATCGGGGGGAAAAACATGAATATGTACTGCAGATGACAGTATCACTGTGCCAATGTCAAATTTCCTGGCTTTTAGAATTTTTATTGTGATTATATAAGAGAATATCTTTCTTTAGGCAAATACACACTGAAATATTTAGGGATGAGACAAATGCCTGCAACAGACTTCCAAATGACTCAAAAAGAACAGGTAAATGCAGGGAATGATGAAAACATGGCAGGTGGTAACTGGCAAATCCGAGTGCAGGGGATTCAGTATTCTTCTGCAACTTTTTCCTTTAACCCTGCAATTATTTCAGTAGCAAAGGGGAGGGCAGGTAGCCTCTCCAGGGCCCTCCAAGCCTAATTCCCCACCCTACCTCCTACCATCTTCCCTTCTTTCCCAGGAAGCCCCATCTGAGCTGTCTGGGCTGCACCTGCTTCAGGGTCTTCCCCTCCCCATCCCTCTTGTCCAGAATTCCCCTCCCTCAGTCTCCATAGGGCCCATTCTAATCTCTGAGCAAAATCACATTGCACCCCATCCTCTACCCTGCTTGTTCCTCTCCCTTTACCTGTAGAACCTAAGCTCTCTTTGGGCAGAAACTTGGTGTGTGCTGTATCCCACCCTCCAGAGCAGAGCCCGGCATCCAGACAGCACTCAGGACAGCTCCTTAAACGGCAGTTACCCTGGGTCCTGACCACCCTACCCTCAACACTAATCCTCCGTTCTCAGAGAACCACTGAGGTCATAGTCAATGTTGCTCCGTAACACTTGTTTTGAAATGCAAATTTGTTCCAATGCAATCAACACATAAGGGAACAATTTCAGCCAAAGAATTTCTGGTTTACTTATGTGGGATTTCATCAGTACGTGAATGCAGAAAACTGCACCCACTGAGTGGAGCCTCAGAGTCACAGAAAACACACACCCCAGACGCCTGCCAACTCCTGGGACCCCACATGGGCTGCAAGCCGCACCATCCACACCCTGGGTCCCTCCCACCTTCTTGACCCACCTCAACCGACCCTCTGACCAAAGCTCTCTTCAATGTTCTCTGTCCTCCCAGCCTGGTCTGTATTCTTCTCTGTTCTCTTCCTGTCACACACAGCATTGGCAGGCTAGCCCCCGGGAGCATGGGTACCCACTTCCACCTGCAAACTTAGGATCTTTTTCAAGGTAAATGTCATGTTTACTACAGTATTTATGTACTTCTTAGTGAGTTAACTTGTATAAAACTGCTACTTTTTATTAGATCACTGTCTTTTTTTAATTTGTCACCAGTGAAGTTTTTGAGTGTTATGCCCTTAACCCCACTTGTCCCATAATCCTTCTGGGTTTTCATTGCCCGTTGTGCAGAGTATAGTGATTTTTGGCAATTTTTGGCAATGCGTATGTTGTATTATAGCAGAACTGATTAGATGTGGGAAGGTCCACTTAATAGGCTTCAAACTGACTTAAATTATCTGGTTGACCATGTAAAACTGCCATTATTCCACTATCCTGACCTACAGAATGGCACTTCATATCATTCAACTCAAAGAAAACAACTGATGCACAATCCTACATCTTCTCATTTTCATGTTTAACTAAGAGCTACATGGTGATTGAGATACTAAATTATTAAGTGTTAATAAGACTTGGTACTCATAAACTAAAACGAATGCTTATGAATATGAGGACTAACTCAGCATCCTTCCAAGATGTCCGTTGCTGAGCAACAGTGCAAGGCTCTCCAGCATGTGACCAGGGAAGTCGGAGCCAAGCACCTTAAAGGGTGCTCTGTCACCGCAGCACCAGTGTGATCTCGCACGGACTGTGCTAACCAAATGCTGCTATTTTGGCTTTTTGATTTTAAATTAATATTAACTTAGCTTCATCATCATCAATTTAGTTTGTGGTATTAGTTAATACTATGACACCAGTCTGCAATAACAATCTTGTAAACTTTAAACCACATGTGTATTGCACATCTAATATAATACAAATCATCTACACTCCTACTAAAACAGTTTATGGAACATCCAAATAGTTTGCTCTTACAGACCCTTCTGTGATGCGCTGCCCGTGGGTTTGTGCTGGTTATTTTTAAGTTTACAGAGTACCATTTTACAATATAAAATCATATTACAAACTCATTTCCTCTTATTAAGAAAAATGACTTCATAAATGTTGCTAGCAACAAATTTCATATTAGGTTCCTCTCTACTTCTTAATTACTACTAACTTAATTTTCACTGCATGAGCAGAACAAGTGAGGTATGCATCTCCTGCCCCAAAGTCACAAGTGCTTTAGAGTTGGTACCTTAAGTGTTGGGGTTCCTCAGAGTTCTGTCCTAGGCTTCTCTTCTCTTATTACACTACAGATGATCCCGTGCATTCCCATGACTGAAGCTTCCAAGTGCCACTGAGGACACCCAAATCTGTCTTTACCCAGGCTTCTTTCCCGGGCCTCAGATACAGCTAACCATCCACCTACTGGACATCAATTGTGCACATTCCCCTGGCAGTCATCCAGAACATTCCAAATTGAGCCTACCTTCCCGCTCAAACCTGCCTTTTCCCCACCTCCATGATCTCACTGAAAGGCACCACAAGTCAGTCCCTGGAATCTGCTTTGGCCCTTTCCCTGGCCCGTACCCAGTCAACAGCACCACCGCCTCACCACCTAACAGCTCACAAAGGCACCCACATCCTCCCACGTCCATCTCCTAATGCAACCACCATCATGCAGGGCATAGCCCCTTCACCACTCTTAGGTTCTCGTGTCTCCCTCTTCAATCCAATCTATGCATGTACAAGCCCCCACGCCTCTCAGGATAAAGTCTCAGCTCCTTAAAGTGGTAAAGAAGGACTGACGTAATCTAAATCTCAGCCCCTGCCTCTTCCTGACCTGGCATTTCTATACCCTAGTCCTACCGAACGTCTTCAAGTTCAAATACAATGTACCTTCTCCGGTCTTTAAAATTATCCCCTCTACTTGGAGAGGTCCTTCCCCACATCCGTCTTTGACTGGCTGACTTGTTTACTCTCTATATCACAGCTTCCATACCCTTTCCACTGGGATAGGAAACAGTCCATGGCTGGATTTGGGCCCTGTCCCATATCCTTGCCCAAGCTTAGCTTTTTTACTCTGGTGTATTTACACACGTGGATCTACCACAACACCGTAAATAACCTGAGAACCAAAAAAGTATGTCTTCCTCACTATGCTATGCACAAAGCAAGAGATCAATAAATATTTAAGTAAATAGAAGCACACTGTGTTACATCACTTAGCATTTTTACAACTCTCTTAAAAGGAAGCAGGAAATACAATTTGTGAATAGTTGCCCATCAGCAGGTGTATCTGAGTACAGGTATGTTTTTTTGTTTTTTTTTAATAAACCTTGGTCCCTAAGGATTCGCTGAGATGATTATATTTCATTTGTGCATGTAATTAACAGTCAAATCGCAATAAAGCTAAACATAAAACTTACATCCAGTTGAACAAACTGCAAAAATTCCCCAATCAGCTCCTTAGACACCGCTTGTACAAATGTCTCTCTTTTTTCCATGACAGATGAAACTTTTTCATATGGCATTTATTCTGTAACCTTAGCAGAAAACACAATCATACTGAAACTTGAATTTGCAAATATCTTTTCCTACAAGATATAACATCCAAAATTGCAAAAACAACAAAAAAAGAACTGTAGACAGTTTTTAACAACATTCTGACACAGAACAAGTTATGATATCTAAAAAATAATTCTCTTTCTCTCCCAAGGAGAGTATCAACATAACATTACGTTATTATCAACTGTTAGTGAAGTTACTACCAACAAAGAAAAGAGAAATCCAAATGGCTGTGGGAAGCTCACCTTCTCTTTCAGTACCTTAGCAAGATGCTCAGGCAGGTCTGAGTCAGCTCAACAAAAGGCGGCTGATTCCATCAAAACATGGGGGGGAAAAAAGGCTTAGAGTCAATAAAAGAAAGTACTAAAAGAAAAAAGAAAACAAAAAAAGAGAGAGAGAAAGAGAGAGAGAAGGCTGACCCCACCTGCTAACTCCTGCAGACCGCCTTTCTAAAGGGCCATTCCTCTATCAAAAAAATCCCAGGGACAGCCCTCTGCTCTTCAGTGTGGCACGGGCCACCGGGGAGCTTGTTAGCGGGAGCATGTGCATCAGGTGCGCCCAACCGCAGCTGGCTCCTACCCATCCTGCGGGAGCCAGAGCTCAGGGGATTGTGTGCAACCTCCCTCCCTGCCTTGTTTGCCCCAGTAAGTCCTATTTTCCATTCACACCACCTGGTGCTGGCAGAGCTGTTTGAAAGACATCAACCAAAAGATGAAGTAATAGCAAAATGATGGAACACAGATGCAATAAAACCCCTCCCCGTGAAGGCAAATGAAAACCTCCTGCACCGTTATAAAGAGAGCAGTATGGAAAATTACTGGCACCAATGGGAACAATGATGGGGACAGAGTCATTAAAAACACAGAACCCCAGATCTTAACGAGCTACGAACACATAACTTCCTCTTGGCCAAGCAGAAGGGAGGGTGGCCAGCCAAAGCTTGATGACTAATTCTGGCCAGTGTCCATGCATGGACTTGAAAATAAACATTCCAAGAAGGTGCCGTCAAGTACATGGAATCACACGTCTTAAGCCCGTGTCTGCGCACACGCCCCCCTCTCTTGTGATTCTGGGGACCTTTCCAAGTGTACCCCTGGCGCGCCAGTCCTACCTACCCAGTCTACGGCTACCGGACGACCTCACTGCCCATTTTCTGACACTGGGTTAGTACCTCTCCGCCTCGCGCTCGGTGCGCCTCCGGTCCTATTTGCGCCCCAGCCCTCGGCCGTCCAGCCAGACGCTGCGCTCACGGAGAGGCGTCATCTCAGCCCGCAGTTCCCCGGCCGCGCGGCACACGGGGCACTCCGCGGTCCAGCGCGGAAGGAGCACGAGCGCTGAACAGAGATGCCCGGCGCCTGTCAGCACCTGCCGACTGGGCGGCGGCGCACCCAGAACGATGACAGACGCCAGGGCACAGGGGCCCGGGCAGCAGGGGGCCAGGGCCTGGGGGGCAGGCGGGAGGCGTCCTCTCCCGGGGCCAGGTCCAGGGCTGCGGTCCTCCCCGAACTCAGCCCCCGGGCGTCGGCGCGCTCAGGGCCCGGCTGCCCGCCGCCCCGGGGCCGCCTCAGAGCCGCCAGCCGGCCGTGGGTTCGGGTCGCGGCCCACGCGGACGCTGTGAGACTGGGCGCCCCACCCGCCCGACCCCCGCCACGTCCCGACCGTTGCCCCAGCCCGGAGCCCTTCGCTGGCCGGCCCCGCGGCGCTCACCTCGTCCCGGAAACCCGCCGTTTCCCGCGCTCGGACCAGATTCAAACCCGCCCGCCCGCGGAGGCGACGCGCTGCGCCGGGCGGCGCGTCATCACGCGCCGCTCTCGCGAGAGTCGAGAGCGCCTGGGCGGGGCCCGCGGAAGGGCGCGCTCCACGCCCCGCCCCGCGCCTCCGCCGAGTTGTGAGGCCCGGCCCCGCCCCATGGCCCGGCCACGCCCCAGAGCCCGGCCGCGCCTCGCCTGGTCACGCCCCCTCCCGGGCCGCGCCCCAGAGCCCGGCCACGCCTCTCCCACGTCCACGCGGGTCTGGTTAGTTTAGTGTGAAATCTAATTTGTTTTATCAATGGTTTAAATAGCTAAAACGATTGCAATCTAAACGTAATTACAAAGACTGACTTTTTAAAACTGGCACATCACTGTAAATATCCAGTGGCATCTGAATCCTCGAGCAGCTGGGCCCCTGGTCTTCTGGAACTGTTTGCGGCGGGTCTCGCACGTAATGTAATCCCCGCGTAAATCTGTTCTTGCTGCGCAGTTCCCGAAGGTCGTGTCTCCAACAAGATAGATTGCTTAAATATCTTGTAACCATAAAGCTCTAGATTTTAAAACTTTCACATTTATCAGAGATACAAATAGATCAAAACCATATAAATAAATTGTAAATTTTGGTATTTATAACATTAAAATTTTGTTGAAACATCTCAATGCTATGGTTAAGATTATTTTTTCAATCCATTCATGTTTCCAAGGATGAATATTCTATTCTGATTTTTCATATTTATAGATGTAAATACTGAGAAAATTTGTTCACATAAACAGAAATGAAAAGGAATGAGAGTAATGTCGCTCAATTCTGTAAACATATTTTAGTTAAATGCCAAAAATCACATACGGATCTGTCATCGATTTTTTTTTTTTTTACATTTTATATCCATGTATTTTTAAAAAATCCATCCATGCAAAAGGAGGCACGTGTCAGTTCCCTATAGAGGGAACGTACTCCTGGAGGTACTGTAAGTCTGGGGGGGTCCACGTCCTCTGCTGCCCTTTGACAGATTCTGTGGTCCTGTTCAGGTGCAGGAAGCTCATCCAGTGTACCGCAGCATCCTGAGACAGCCGCTTGTCTTCTTGTCAACCATCGTCAATCAGATCCAAGATCCTTCCAGCTCTTGGTGCCTCACTGTCCACTCCCCTGCAGCTTTGATCTTGTCCCGTGCTCGGACCCAGCACTCCACCCCATCTATTCTTTTAATTTAATTTGTATCCGCTAATAACTTGATTGAGCTTTCCTTCAATTTTTGTTGAAAGCACAAACTTGGAAACCACCTGAATTTCAAAAAGATTTTTTTATCCAGTCACTTGGAATCATTCACTTTCTCAGTTCCTAGGCAGTTTACCAAAAACCTTTGCCCAGATACACTGAATTACTATTAATTACAGTATATTGTTTACTCTTTCATTTAAGGCACTTTTGTGAATACCATTTTTTTAATTAAAAAATAAAAGGTTTTGGGCCCCTGGGTGGCTCGGTGGGTTAAGCATCTGCCTTCTGCCCAGGTCATGACCCAGGGTCCTGGAATCGAGTCCCACCATGCTTTTCCCTCTCCTCCCTGTTCGTGTTCTCTCTCTCTCTCTGTCAAATAAATAAATAAAATCTTTAAAAAATGTTTTAAGTAATAGGGGCGCCTGGGTGGCTCAGTCGGTTGGGCGACTGCCTTCGGCTCAGGTCATGATCCTGGAGTCCCGGGATCGAGTCCCGCATCAGGCTCCCTGCTCAGCGGGGAGTCTGCTTCTCCCTCGGACCCTCCCCCCTCTCATGTGCTCTCTCTCTCTCTCTCATTTTCTCTCTCAAATAAATAAATAAAATCTTTTTAAAAATTTAAATAATAAAAGCTTTTATCTCTTGATTTATATAAGCTTTTCCCACACCTTGGAGTACTATGGATTCTGCTGGATTTTTATGGAAAACGTCTTCTCAACAGTCTGCATGTAAATCCAGGCCTCAGTGTCAAACCAATCAGCCAAATCAGAGCTAACTGTCTGAAAGTCTGGAAGAGTGTTTATGGACTACGGAGAACTAATGCATCCCTCTCCTGAGATCTGGGCCCGTGGGCCCCCGAGATCATCAGGGGAACAGAGGCCTCCTCCTTCGCCTGTGCTGGACTCAGGATCTGGAAAAAGATAGTCCCCGAGGAGTCCAGCATGAACCAACTCACCAGGCTATGGGCCCATCTCATCCCAAGTCGGCTTTCTTCATGAGGGGGAGGGGAGCCCCAGAAACCCGCACCCCTGTCTGTCTCGACAGTGTACCTGTGCCCTGTTCACGCAATCACCACACACCCTCATCTCCCATACTCTAGACCCCACCAGGCTCTGCCACATCCCTCATTCTTCCCTTCTCCCACTCACACTGATGTCCGAAAACCCTCCCACTGTGCGCTGGAACCTTCAGGCCCCTGTCAGCCCCACCTGCTGTCAATACAGCAGGCTTCCCTGCGTGAGGACATGGCCCCTGCAGCTACAGGCCTTCGTGCTCGAACTGTCCAGAGTGGATCCTGCTCCTGACTGCACCCAAGCCAGCTGGAAGTCTCTGCGAGGCGGAGTGGTCGCTGCCTTCCTGACCCAGTGCTGACTAGTGGAAATACCACGTGAGCCACATATGTAACTGTGGACCTCTAGTTGCCACACTAGAAAGAATAAACACGGTGAAGCGCATTTTAATCATGTGCTTTATTAAACCCAATAAATAAAGAATATTATCACTGCACCAAGCAACATAAAATTATAGCCTTTGGGGGGTGGGGTACTGGTCTGTTAGGAAGTTTGTGGCAGCAACACAAGCAGAGGGAGCCGCATGACAGCATGGGAAAGTTCCAGGTTCCCACCTCCCCATTTCACCCTGAGGCACCAACCCCTCTGCCCACTCCTCCCATTGCATGGCACCACTCCCCTCGGCCCTGTCACTCTGGACTCCGTCCTGAGTGCTGCCTCCCATCCTGGGCCCCTCCCCCAGCTCACCGCACACATCCAGAACTGAAATCCAGCTGCCCCTCCCGCCCACTGGACCCTTATCCCTGTCCTCACTCGGTCCCTGCTGCACCCCATTACATTGCTGGCGCCTCCTGACAAAACAGGGTGGGCTCTGGACCCACACCGCCTGGGCATCAGCTCTGCCACTCGCCAGCCACCTGAATGACCTGGGACAGGCCTCCTCTATCAGCTTCCTCTTACGT